CCTCCCATAGGTCCACTCAGCCTCAATTGAGGACCTGGTGCGGTGTGTAAACATCACCACTGCGGAGACAAAGGCGGCCGGGCGTGGTGTTGGCCACCCACCCCCATAGGTGGTGCTTGCTAACAGCACTTGCCCCAACAGTCCGTTAATGCTATAGCGGTGTCTTTGTGATCAGGTATAGTTGTGTTTGGAGTAGGGACTGCTCAGACACGTGCAGTCTTATACGAGAACTTCAGAAACGGTCAATCGTGTGTCCATTTACCGTGTCCTCAGACGGCAGCTGCATTATCGTACCTGTGCCTGCGGATATTGAGTCAATCATATTCAACCGTGGGAATTGAAAATTGACATCGCAATGGACAAGCCTCGTCCCTCAATTTGGGATCGAGGTGCAATGCGTGCCTCCCGCAGAGCCACCAGAGAGTATCAGTGATGTGTAATGGATGTGTAAAGGTCCCATCAATGGTTACTTTTGAGCGGCACCAGTCTTATGAGACTGAAGATGAATGCGGGCTGCGTGTGGGCTGCCACAGAAGCACGGGGCATTTGCAAGTCACAATAAATGTTCATAAGCAGTTCTAAAGCGACGAGTTTTTAATCAAAGAAAATTGGTTTTCAATGCGAACAGAGGACTGTTTCCCTTGAACTCCTGCACGTGGCTATGTTGCCACGGCACTGAATGGAGATGTCATAAATACACCGCAATAACTTGATCTCACCATTCAAACTTCGTGACATGTGAATGCTGCATGTAAACACAAACGTTACTGGTTTGATAAGCCTGTGCATTATTACCTCGTGTGGTCTTGTACATTCGGTAAGTATGTACGTTGTATGCATAGATAGGACGCGTGGGGAGGGCGGATTAATTGGCTCCCACCCACCCCTTCAAAGAAGCTGCAACAGGACAGATAGCACGAGAGCCCTCTGCTGGATGGAATGACGGTGATGCTGCTGCTGGTAACACTGGTCAACACACTTTTTCTGGCATAAGGTATTCCAACGGTTTTAATGTAATTTTGGGGTGCTGATTCCAAATCTGGCATCAATTTTTCTCTATCACATCAGGTTTTTGAGATATAAAATATTGCATTTTAAATAAAAACTGCAGAAGAAAAACATTAAATAAATGTGGATATCTACATAAAATTATATTATAAATACACTATCCTAAAAATACAGCACCATATTTTAACACTAAAGCAGTCCCTGACTCGCAACAACTTGCAATCATAAGTGACAGTTAATTTCGGGTAAAATCAATGAAAATGGGTTATGCGGATAGCATAAAAATGAGATGCGATAGAGCAAATCTGAGATCAGATTTGGAATCAGCACCCTGAAATTAGTCTACAACAGCTACAAAAGTCCAGGCCACAATTTTTTTTGTTGACCAGTGTAATGGAAGGACATTCATGAACGCGCACAAATGTTTTTTTTTCCTCGGGCTGTGACTCTTGATGTGCGGAGTCGAGGCTCAGTGTTGTCGCTCGAGAGCCAGACGAGAGAGACGGGGGCCTCAAAGTGTCGCTGATGTGATGGATGTGGAGCAGCAGCAGCAGCAGCGGCGGCAGAGGGATGGTGGTCGCGTTATGAACGACGCGAGGCTGTCATGGGAGAAACGATGCCTGTCAAGTGACTAAACTAAACCATACTCTTTTGATCTTTCGGTAAGGTCACGTAGATGAAAAAAAAATAAGAATAAAAAACAGCTCTCTTTGCCCACTACAGTAATTTTGCTGTGGTTGTCCCACCTGATGACGGAAGCTTGTGTTGCTTCCGAAACGTCGTGATTTAATTTAGTCATTTCTATTTTTATTCTTATTTTTCTTTATTTTCACCTACGTGACTTTACCGAAAGAACCAAAGAGCATGGATCCTTGCAGTCACGAAAACTTCAAATCTAGAATTAAACTAAAACCATGTTTTTATTAGAGCTCGATAGCTCTTTTTCAGAAGCGACCTGGCGATCACAAATGATAGCTCAACGAAGTGGACTTATCATCATGTGGACATTCATAGCATGAAAATACTCTTAACGCATGCTTTTTTTATGTGGAGGGGAAAAAACCGGAGGACACGGTGAAAAAAGCCACACGACCACGGGGAGAGAGACACGCAATCTCCAAATAAACAGCAGCAGGCGTCAGGGTCGGGATCGAACCCACGATTCCGTGCTGTGAAACCCGTTTTAAAATCGTTACCTATATCTATAATAGCTGGCAAAATAGATACAACTCTACGATTGGTTTGCCACACATTGTGACAATGCGTAAGGAGGGGGAGTCCATAAATGACGTCACGCACCTAGGGGGGGTCAGACATTTGTGACGATGTGTGACGAGGGGGAGGGGATTTGAGAAATGTGACGTCACATCAAAATGCGCAACTTTAAATAGATATAGACAATACGTTCTACTTAATTAAATATACTTTTTGATCAATGTTTTATCCAACAACATCAGAGTGCAGCGCCAGAATAAATACACACTACAATGAAAACAGTTTAAAGCGATTTGAAGCATGTTTTATTTATTTGAGGGGGGGGGGGCAGAGCCTTGTGACGTCATATTTGAGGGGGGGGTCTGACTTTTTGTGACGCCGTGTGACGAAAGGGGGGGGTCAAAAATCGTCCAAAATCGCGTGACGTCATTTATGTACGGCCCCTTAAACAACAAAAATGGCCAGGTAAAGCAAGCTGTGGCTAAACGACTCTATTGGATAAAGATGACAGCACAGCGGCTTGTGTTGTGAGGACAGCTGTGGAGCGAGGTTCAGGATCAAAATGTTGTAATAACGAGTGGGGGGGCGATTGTGAATTTGAGTATTGTTTGTAAACCAATCTTGATCGCGAAAATATTTTTTTTGTTTCGTTTTCAATCATTGTAAATTGCACGCTTTGATATGGATTTAGGAACGCGGAAATTGTCGAAGGAAATTGAACAAAAACGGAGAAGTGCACAAAGAAGAATGGAGAGATGCGTGCATGGAATTGCATTGAGAAACAGGGAAGAGGCACGCGTGGACTCGATAACAAGTGCAGGTTAACGGCGTTGTTGATGATATTTATGCACGCGGGCTTGGGGCAGGAGACCGTCGCTCCAGGGCTACAGGAATGGCAGCTGCCAAAGGAGGGAACGTGCCCAAGAGTACATCCCTCGTGGAGATGGAGCGATGACGTCAGCTCGCAGTGCAGGTCTCGGGTGGAATGTTATACACCACGGGACCATGGCAGTTGATGGAGTTGGTGGCCTTCATCCAGCAGTGGACTGATCAAGGCCGATAATGATGATCGAAACATCTAACCATGAAAAGTGGTCCAGACCCGTGCGCGTGTCTGCGATGATCACGCTGCGCGACGAAGCCGGCTACCCATGTTCGATTCGCGCTCAGGGACCACACCAGTGTGGGTTATCTGAACGGGTACTCGACCTCCCGCAGATTGATTAAGGCCTCAAATGTGTGTGAGGTGTAAACATCGCCACAAGCGAGGCAAAGGCGACCGGGCGTAGTGCTGGCCACCCACCCCCTCGTGTGCTGAGCCGGCCTTCATAGGTGCTCGTTAACAGCACTTGCCCCAAAAGTCTAAGTCGAAACGGGACATCGGTGTCTTTGTCTGCCGGAACACACCACGCGTTCACAAAGTGCCGTGCGGTTTGAATCGTCGCTCATGCGAATCGGTCCATTTGTTTGACATTTCATTTGGTTCCATTATATTATCAATTGTCTGACTTTGGAAAAGAGAATCGAGTCCGAACGCGATTATGGGCTTGTCGACAACTCTGGAAAATGAGCAGTGCATGCTCATCATTGTAATTTTCTCGGAGTTAGGGTTACTTCAGACAGTTGTGTGGTGTGGGCACAATCATTTTTCAGATAACAATTCCCATACAATTACACGGAGCTTATCAACTCTCCAGAGATGGTAAGAGGGGTTTCCCCGCTTGCTCAACGGTGACGATTGTCCTGTGGGAAGAACTTTCATGATTGTAGGGAATTTTATTAAAACACATTGTCTCAATCACATCGCTTTAAAAATCACGCAAAAAAAAAAAAGATTTGCATGCAGACTCTGAATACACGACGGGAAAATATTCTCAAAGAACTTGAAAATTACGTGCACTAGGCACACATCTCGAATGGCAGACTCGGGTAGTTGTTCCTGCAATAAATCTCGGGACAAGACTACGTGACAATCGCAGATGTTGTCAACCAGACAGCCTCAATGCTTAATTTTCATCGTGTTGCCAAACAGCATCCCAATTTTTTTTCCAGAACAGGGTATATTTGGTCTAGATATTTCAGTATATGATAATTTTTTATGAACACTTTAGTAATATTAAATAGCTTCAAGCGAGCAATAATCCTCACGTTGGGCACATGTTACATGACCCTGTGTCGTATTCGAGTTTTGTCTCAATAAGTCGGGATTTGCGCGATTTCAATGACAGTACTCAAGCTCCAGCAGTTGAATATGGGTAGATATACTGGGCATAGTCTGAATTCCATAAACTGCAAATGGGGCAAAGCTTGATCTCTCATTCACTCTGCACGTGGCCAGTACACCCGATATGTGTATGGTTGCCAGTGTTTGTTTCAGAATCAGAAAGGGTTTAATTCGCCATGACAGGTGGCTTTGGCGACCAATATCCATAAGTTTTTTTGGGTGAGATCGCATAAATACAAATGTCGTTAAAACCGCCACCCGAAACATCGTACTCGGATTGTAAACGTGGATTTTCTCTCCAACACACCGGTGTGCTGTACTAGTAACGAATTGGCATATTCTGTTTACGTGACAAACCTTGCAAATTGGCTGTGTCGGATGGTGGCGGGTTTAACGACACATTTGTATTTACGCGATCTAAACAAAAAAAACCTCTTATGGTTGCCCGTGTTAGTCCTTGTTGAGCGATGGTTCACATTGAACCGCTGCTGTGCCACCGCCACTGATGATGATCGAGATGTCAACCCAAAAATAACCATAAAACAGGCAACAGTTAAACAGTTTACATTTTTATTTGCTTTTTTTGTTGTTGTTGTCGTCGTTTTACTACAAATTATTTTCAGAAGAATGACGTAAAACCCAAACTAGCGATGAAAGGAAAACGTCGGAGGCTAAAAAAACAGAATTCTGACGCCGCAATTCAGGATAGAAAGAACTATTAGCAATTACAATGGGTTAGAGACAATTCTCTGCAAGGTTTGTATGCACTAAAATACATGTTTAAATACAATAATTTAAAAATGGCATTTATACATAATTACACCCACAAAACTGTCATTTTTTCGGGTCATGTTATTCTTTTTTAAGTTGAAAGATAAAACCACCGCATTAATGTTTAATTACTCGGTGAAACGTTTGCAATCGGTTTCCACCAATGTTACCCAACAGTTAAAATTGATTTGTTTTATCTTTTTCACGGCATGTCTTTCTTTGGATTTGAAAGGTGGCTCACAAAATTGTAAAACGTGAAAAAAACCCGTAATTGATGCAAAACGCTTTTGTGAAATGAAATGCCATTTTTGTTGTTGTTGTAAAACAATTGCATACGTGACAATCGTTTATACTGGTAATGGCATGCACATTCTTTGAAAAAAGAAAAGCCAGTTCTGACGGTACATGGGGGCATAAATGACTAAAATTGAAAATATAAAACAGAATCCCCATTGAGTTTGCCTCTTCAGACGACGGCGTGTGTGGATGGGTTTCACAGCAGTAGGTAACAAGTTTTACGGCACACGGCTACTTACAGTTGAACAACTTCAACCAATTACACAAAGTTTAAAACATGATATTTTTTTTTCTCACTCATGACCAGCTCGGCAAATCCAAAGAACAACATAGTGCTAAAAAAAACTACTATTAATGTACATTTGATATTTATAACAAAAGTAATTTTCGGTATAATGTGCGTCACACATCACCAATAATATGGCAAGTGGTCCCCCTGTTTACCCAACCACGTAGCTGCTTAACATTAAGCGTACTCACACAAGCCTCTGTTGCACAGAAACGCACCAAAATATTGATGATAAACATCAACAACAGTACAGTAGTTAGAATTTGTATGCTTGTAAGCAAACTACTGCGTGCACAGAGTAGTTATATTCACTGCATTAAGACTGAATCGCCTCCCGCCATCTACGATGAAAGTCAGTGGTCACGGCCCCAGCCACGGTTCCGTTTTTCCTTCCGCTAACGCAGCACAACCGCCGTCACACACTGCAGTGGAGTAAACGCGCCGCAACCCCTCGGCATTCATCGCGGAGTCGCTTTGCATTTTGGTTACACTTCTACTAAGGCTTCAAGTATTCTCGTGTGAGGAGCCGGACCCCCACCGCCGCCCCAGCTCAGGCCGCCCGTGCGCCGCTCGCCGCACAAGAAGCCTCGATCACGCGGCGAGGGTCTCACACGCGAGGAGGAGGAGGAGGGGCCGCGTGGCCCCCAGCACCGTACTCCCGTCACCTCCTCCGCTGCCGTCACCGCAGCAGCGGTGACGGCAGCGGTGGCCGGTTAAGTGCGACCGCACTAAACCGGCCGGCATGGAAATCCGGAAAATGCAAGGCAAACGATGCTCCCCGCTCCCTGCTCATGCACCGCTGTGAATCCATGTGCTTTGACACATCACGTACGCTTCCCACTCCACTTCAATATATTTTCAACTCTGTCCCCCCCCCCCCCGACCTCGCCCACCACAATTGATAAAAAGCCAAAAAATGGTGTTCTGAAAAACCTAAATTATCACTAGATAACTCAAGTTCATCCCAGATTGTTCTTGTCAAGATATACATGGCTTGGGAGGTTGTTTTTTCACATTGTGTAACTGAATAACAATAAAACATCCTGCCATACATTTGGCAAATGTATAAGGTTTGACCCTGTTGTTTGTAAAGTGAAAACAAGCCAAGAGTAACATGGAACATTCAGTAGGAGAAGCGTATATTTTGTAATCTATGCAAGTCCCTCTGCTGTGGTGGAGTCTGGAAAAAGTGGTCATGGTTTACACACAGAGACAATACGACTGCTAGGCCACGTGTAGAGAACGAGGAAAATGAGGGATCTGCTTCGCTAATTCTGATCGAACGAGCACTGCGGCAGTGAGGTCTGCAGAATTAAGGAACCGTTATCAATGCAAATTAGTACTGGGAGAGACAACGTCACGGTCTTCTGAACGTACGTGAGCAGGCTGTATTTACAGTACACTATACATCAAATAAGACAATTAGGCTAACGAACTATATACAATGAATTTTGCACATACAAATCCTGCAACTAAAAAAATACATTCCTTTTAGTGCTGGTAAAGCTATCTCCCACTGCATGTGTCTTAGCTCAAACCGATTGATCTATTACACTGTAAAACAAGCGCTTGAGATGCATACCGCCAATAACAATTCAAAGTTCGCGGGAGATGTGCATCTTGAGTAACGTTAGTAGAGAACAAGCGATACGCTGCGAATCGATCCGGTGTCAATTCTCAGCGACGTTAGGAGAACAGCCAACGCGCGGGCAAGTCGATGTGGTGTCAATTTCCTCTAGTGGCGTCAAAACATAGCAGCAAAAAAACACACATGCACGCGCGCGCGCAGCCGCAACAGCCCACGCCGGACCGTACAAGGCGCGCACTAGCGCAGCAACGTTTGGGTGGGCTCACAAGCAGAGCTGCGACGAGCTAAAAAGGGTAGCAAATTAATATCGCCAAAACGAGCACCTTCAATCCTGATAAGTGTGTAGAAATGACTGTGGGGGGCAAGGCCTGGCTGAGACTGCATGCTCGTTTCATCATCTGCCACTCTGCTTTCAGTCACCACGCCCCCCCCCCCCACTGCCTCCCTTGCAGCTTTGCCTGAATCTCCACCAAAGCTGGTACGTTGAAACCTCTAACCACCCTCGCTAGTGTCGGTGAGGGGGGCCACGGACAGCGGTTTACATGTTGTAGGCCACGTATATTGGGTCAAGCTGGTCGGCGAGAAATCCGTCGCGCAAGTGCATGCGCTGTTTCTCTCCACGCGAGTTGATGGGGATGGTGCCAGGGTCCGTGACCACCACCACGCCCACCACCAGATAGTGCTCTTCCAGCACCGAGTTGGTGACCAGCGGCACCAGGTCCAGCGCCTCCTGCTCCTGCCCTCCCAGCTCCACCACCACCACCAGCAGGTTGGTCCACGTGAACACGGCGCTGCGGGGGAGGGAAGGAAAAAAAAAGGAAACGGAAAGTGGAGGGGATGAGGCACTGGGAGGGCAGTCGGGACACTTAGGGCGAGTCCTCGCTGAACGCGTGCTCACAACGACAACAACGCGTTTTGACAATAACAAGGTTCTAGTATTAAGGGAAAACTTTTCGCACAACGCAGAACGCGGCTTCTGAGCGGTCGACGACCAACTACTTTCTTGAGCTGCGCGACTGAGCGGTAATGAAATTCATTCTGGCTATACGCACGGAATGCTACAGTACACAACGATGTACCCTCACACCTCAGTTCATTATCCCACCGTCTCACTGGGTGTAGATATATCGTACCCTTTCCAAACTTTGTCCTTACATTATTTCGATGGAGAAATTACTGTATAAGCAAGCGTACAAATTACGTGGAATTGACAATTCTGAATCAACAGCAGTGAACAAAAGTAAATATTGATGATACAACAATTATTTAAAGAATATATCGTACTTCCCTAGCTTAATTATAAACTGGGAATACAAAATCCTTGGCGCTCCAAATCAGTTTTGTGAATCAGACTAAAATGCCAACTCTTAAATGGCAATTTTCATGAACTGGAATACGCAAGCAAGCTGAGACAAAATGTAAAATCACGCACACCAAGATATGAAAAATGTATGGTTTATAAAATATTTACAAATGTCAGAGGCAACAAAATCATCATGGGAGAAATCCTAAATGTCATCCAAGCCACCTGCGGTGTCTCTCCCCGTGATTGCGTGGATTTTTCTCCGGGAGCTCCGGTTTTTCCCTCCACATTTAGAAACATATGTTTAGAGCATTTGGCAGCTATAAGTTTCCACATGATAAGCCACTTCGTTGAGCTATCATTTGTGGACAGGTCACTTCTAAAAAATAGCTATATAGTCTGAGTGGGCCTTACCTGGTATAATAATAAAATGGTAAAAATAAAACCTTAGTGTGGGCGAGGGATGCCCTTAACACAGTCTGCTGCCCTCTCCATGAACTACGGTAGGGTGACACCTACCACTCGGCGATGCTCTTGTGAGCCCGCAGGATGGAGGTCTCGATGTCGATGGGGTGGTACCGCATCCCTCGCAGTTCCAGCGTCTCGTCCAGTGAACCAACCACGTACAGCGCATCGTGGCGATCTGGGAAGGCGGTGGATGGGAGCAAACGGCACGACGATAAAAGGGTGGACAAGCGTGAACGTGTCGGCAGTTCTCAAGACAGCCGGCCCAAGTGGATCAGCGGTAGAGCGAGGGGGGCTAGCAATCGGAAGATTGGTAGTTGACATCCTGGTCAAGTGGTTGACTCGGGCCTATCATAAATCCCTCTGAGGTCACCCTGTGAGGAGGAATGTGGGAATTTTCACCGCCGGTTCAGGGCAGGAAACAGGAGATGAACACCGCCTCAATGTTCATTTGAACAGGAGATCACTTTGACTAAGCTTCAAGGATACAAAGACAGCGGGAAGTAAGGATTATTTACAGAGTTTTGTATTACAGTATTGTTAGAACTGCATCTCATATTATGCTAAAGACATACTGTTGACTAAAACTTAATTAAAATTCTAGTAAACAGTAATTTAACACCAAGTGGTGCAGACATCCAGCTGAAGGGCGTGCTAGGGTTACAGCGCTCGCGTTAGCAACGTTGCGAGTTGAAATGCCAGTTTAGGATCGACACGGCCCATAATCTCTCCATGGTGAATAAAATAATCATCACGCTGTATAATGCTGGCAGTGGTTTTATTAATGAGATTGGTTGCCACCATGGAATCTCCACCAGTAAGCACATGGTGGCCAAACAAAGATGAGCACGGGCCTCCGATGATGACTGAGCACCTTAGAGGCACGTTGGCACCTAAGCCACGTAAATACAATCACTTTGAGAAATGAGCGGGGGAGTGGTGGAGCAGTAGTTAGCGCACTGCACGATCAATTTGGCGGCGCCACATTGACGAGCTGGGTAAAGTATGGACATTCAAACCCCATGGCTGATCGTGTGGGGAGACCTTCATCCAGCAGTGGACTGACAAAGCGGTGTAATTATTCATTTTGAGTACATACAGGTGGAACCTCAACATTTGCCTGCTAAAGTATTCGGGTCTGGTGGAAATCTCATTCTCAAACTTTTGCTGCCACTCGTAAAAAATTTTTTTTTTTACTATTTTCTACAGGTTAATGAAATGTTGACAAACCTTTCTGTTGGCATTTCACACAGTACGTACCAACCGTAAAAGGAGCAAATGTGTTGCTACAAATTGTATACACAAATTACGTGTTTCTATTTCCAAATCTGGCTCGGCATGGGGAATTCCAGAGTAAACACGAAATAAAGGAAGCAATCAGTCCTTCCCTCTGGTGGGATTTACAACATGCAATTTGAACATGGCATTTCAGGTCTGAGATGTGGCTGATAATTGCAGGCATTATCCACCAGTGAAAGGATGTAAAGAGATTACTTTCACTCATGATTATAGCATTTTTATTTGCTTCAGCACCAACATATATACTTTACTTGCTGGCATATCTACTGAATTCTTAAACACTCTTTATGTTGAGACACTATGCAATTATGTGTTCCTGTATGTGGCCAAAAGGCTGCAAACTTAAAATAACCCACTCTATATGGACAACTAAATTCCCATCATTGCCTGGTGTTTGTGTAGGTGGAATAATGTCAGTCAGATGGAGAGTGTGCGTTAAAGACCATTTGACATTCAGAAGCGCAAGCTATTGTGTGCAGGCGTCGACAATATCAGCGGTGGATCAGCAGGGCAAGGAATGTGGCGGCGATCATCTCTGTTGGCAGCCCTGAGCCAGGAGTGTAAATTCCACATTCCCATGGCAGGGAAAACTAGAATCATCGCCGCTATTATTGTCCAACTTCTAAATATTCATCAAATCACTATAAATATATTTTTTTATACATATTTAATTAAATTGACCGTCCCTCGGTCATAATTTTACCTCAGCTACCCAGGCTTAGCTGGCAAAATTAATCTTTTCCAGAATAATCAAATAATTAAAAAGGCCACTAAACATGGATTCATATTGAACACCACAACCCAAATTGCAAATTCAGTGTGACACCGAGACCTCTGTTTTTACATCATTGTCTGTGCTCCTGGAACCTTTCATGTATTTACTTTAAAAAAAACTGCAGTGTACAATATACAGCTACTTCCATATAGCTAGCTCATATATAAATATACACAATCAGCAGGAAACAATTTAATAATTAGAAAGACACTGTGGAATTAACAGTATTCTAAACAAAATTACAAATGTAAAAAGGCCTCTCCGTAACTGGGTGAGCTAGCAATTCCAGATTGCAAAGATTGATAAGATGGCTGGAAGCCTGGACCCCGGGTTGACCTTCAACTGGATGGCCTTAGATGGGTAATTTAACATCAAGGACTTCCATGCCGCTAAGATACTAAGCAGGCAGGGTGCAGATTCTCGCGGAGCTGGTTATACTTTGCTCTCATTCCGAAGAAAGACAACGCACACGGAAGGATATTTGAATAAAATCAAATTGATAAGATGTTTTAAGACGCTGCGTGCCACGACTGTCATTTTCTGGAGTGTGCCAACTTTAATTTTTATACCCCTAGACAGTTTACATTATAAAACAGAGGTAAGGAATCGTATTATTTTGTGAAATTGAGCAAGGTTACATTGACAGATTACTTGAGGGAATACAGCAGTTGCATGCATCATCTGAAAGTGTACGATCACTTGCACAGAAGGTTTTCCCATATTTTGAATGTTTCTTTTTCCTTAGATAACTATCACTGTTTTAACATTCATGAGATGACCATTTGTTGTTGTTGTGCAATTGGAACAACTCACTGGTTGACAAAAGTATCAACTGTTCTCCGCCCCGCACATTGGCCCACATAACTCGCTGTCAAATACAGGGCATGCATTACAATTCCTAGCCAGTGCACATGCTCTCTTTGTTAAGCCGTCTTGTGCCAGCATCAATCTCCAGTTGGTATATATTCAGACGCTAATGCAATTTCACATTTGAATCAATCGCTGTTATACGCAAGCACTGTGCGGAATTAATGGTAAACAACTTTATACTCTTTCGGTAAAGTCACATGACGGACGCTTGTGTTGCGCCCGAAACGTCGTGATTTATTTTATTTTCTACCTACGTGACTTTACCGAAAAAAACAAAGAGTATGGATTCCTGCAGTCACGATAGCTTCAAATCAAGATTTCACAACTTTCATCGCACAACGGACGTTTAATTTATGACGGAACAAAGTGTGCGCGTGGATTTTGGTTGCTCCGAAGCAAACAGAGCGACACCTGCAGTCCCTATGAGTCGGCCCTGCGATACGAGGCGCTCACTACACGCAGCAGGGTACACGGGTGACAGCCTCGAGGGGAGTGCGTTTAAAGCGACTCTTGCCCAATGCCGCACTGCAAAGTCAAAGCTTAGCCAATTCCCACCAGGCTGTGATAATTAACACACGGAATAATAATAATAATGATTGGAGGCTGATCACAATTAAACACGGCCTAAACACATTGATATGATGGTCACGCATTTGCTCAAATGTGTTTGAATGGCGACCTAAGACAAAAGGATCATAATGCACTTATTCAGAAGATGCTGGTGGTTGTTGCATAATGCACAGAGGCTCAGTGGTGCCATCAGTCGGTCAAATTTGCTTAAACGTATTTAAATTAACTTGATTAAAAGAGATTATTATTAGTGTGTGCCTCGTCACAGGCCAACGCCTCACTCCAAAATTCTGTGTTGCATTGTAATATTTGCTATTTACATGGCGTTCAAGTGCCTTAAGTAACTCAACGCGCCTTACATTACATCTGAAACATGTGCAGGGACCCCCTCCCCCCGTCAGTGGCAGCTGTCCCTGTGTGGCACAAAACCTGGCCTGAGAAGTGGGCACGAAAATCTGCATACCATGGGGTGATGATCGCTGATGTGTAATCATAATTGACGAATTTGCGGGTCATTTTTTTGAATTTGGAAAATGTGGACCATGATGCCAGCACACAATGGCCACGTCATGTTTTGAATGACGTAAGGAGACCTATAATGTCCACTGTGAAGCAGATGGCAAATAGAGTATTTTTGGTTAAAAAAATATCTTGGAATGATTACTCTATGTATCCAGTACAACAGACAAAAAAACATCTCAAAAATTACTATAACCTGGTTACATGGTCTATGTGTCTCAATAAAATAACTTTGACGTTCGAAGTTGTATCACATTTGATTAATAAAGTGGTGGAACGTTGCACCCAAAGTTGTCAACATTTGTAAATTCAACAACTGACAAAGATGCGCCTCGGAACGTTTAATTTGGCCACTAGATGGCAATGCACTCATTCAGAAATGTTTACGTAAAAGGCACTGAAAACAAGATTCAGCACACGGGCTATAAGATAGTCCTGCGATTCCAATCTTGCGCTGAATATAAGCCATCGCTAGGAAGCAGTGGCCTCTCAAAAGAAGCTCCTGACACAGGTTGTGTGCATGTGTGTGCAGGGACAGCGTAGCGTTCATCACTACAGGGGCTCATTTGGGCAGCTAAATACATTTTCGAATATTCCTCCATATGAACCTCATGGCGGGACCCCGGGGTCCCGAATAAACTGAAGTTAAAATCGTAATTAACAAATTTATTTTCGGCGACTCCGTTCCACCACGCACATAAATGCCGCGACCCACCAGAAATCAATCCTCTCGTTCTTCACCAAGCACCCGTCGTTGCCAACATTTCCGTAGTCAGAAACAAAACTTTTAAACTTTGATTAGCGTATCGTTCGCATTCAACAGACATAAAGTGACGTCGCAACGCAGTTTATGCGAGAGCCGAGGGCTTATGGGACCCTGGGGTCCTGCCATAAGGTTCATATAGCCTACACAGGCTGTTGGAGAAAGGGCTGTTTGCGAGCACATATTAAGGTCAGCACAAAAGGGGAATGAGTGGCCAGTACTACGCTTGGCTGCCTTTGTCGCCCCAATGCTCATGTTTACCACAACAGGTGCTCATCTAAGGTTGACTCAACCGTGGGGTTGATGGCACAAATGTGGTGCAACAGATCAGCCTGAGAAAATCCAATTGCCAGCACTATACCATTTTAATAAAGATTATTTCTAGATGTCTTCAAATAAGGTGAGTTGCCAAAAAAAGTGGGAATAGTTTATTGGCTTTATGAATGCACATGCATGAGCTATACAGCCCTTGCAGACAATATTATTAAAATAGTCTCGTTATTTCGCTTGTTTAGCCTCAGTCAGTCAATGTTATTTTTCAGGAGAGTCCTGCCAAGTTTTTGCAGTCGGGGGCGATGTTGCTGTGTGTAGTCCCGAGTAAGTTGCAGGTAAATTTTCAGCTTTTGAGATGTTTGGTCAATACCAGTTACATGGTATGTTCATAAGCGTATTATTAAATAAATATAGAATACAATTACAATTCCTTATAAGAGAAACAAATACCAATGAATAGCAATTGAATGATTACCAATCTATTATATAATTACAATACCCTCCCCGCCTCAAATCACTGCACCTGAATGCATTAAATGATGACGTCACCCTGCTGCTGCTCTATTTAAGACGGGGAGCAAGAGCAGAGCCTCACCATTCTGGCAAATCGCCTGATGAAGCTGGATTTAATTACCAACGAAATGTCGTAATCAAATTTGAAATTATGTTGATTCACTCTTCAACACACTGGTGGGCTAAGGTAGTGAACTATTTGTCCTTTGTAAACGTGACCCATTTTTTACTGTTTGGCCGTATCGGGTGGTGGAGGGTTACGACACATTTATAAATAACGCAATCTAACCCTAAAACCCTTATTATGAATAATATTGGTCGCGAAAGCCTACATGGTATGTGTTTTTTTTAGGTATAGGAGGAAACAGAGTGAACATGCAAACTCCAGAAATGCGCCCAAGTTGGGAACTGAACCCAGGCCCCCCCTTCTTAGTGAGAGGCACAGGTGTCACCCATTGCAGCGCCACCCTGTCGCCAGAATCATTACCGTGCACACTCCGGAACTGTTGTGTCTCTTGGGAGCCCTCTTAACGAGCAGTGGCACTTGCGTCCACCATTGACGTGCCATGGCGCTTATCGCCGCCCCAAAATAATTCTCGTGACAATTAAGTGTTGTGCGCTACGAATGAGTGGCAGAGTGTTTCTCAGACCAGTCGTTCATAATGTGACAACACTTCCTTGTCGCTAGAAAATGGCATCGCTGAAAGTTGCCAAGTGTGGACGATGACCTGGGTGGCCAAGTCTGGTGGCGATGGGTTTTCTCCATGTCACTGTATTTTCTGAGGTTTAAATTTTTTGTTTAGTATACAAAAAGGATATTTCTCAAAAGTAATGCTTACACGAACAAATGTGGTAATGCTAATTTATAACAAAACACGTTAAACTGATCGTGAACTTTTTGTTGTAGCACCACAGTCTATACACATATATTTGAATTAAAATATAGTGGAAATTCTTAACTCAATCAGTTATGAAGGAGAGAGTCCATTCCAGTAAAATATTTTCCTGTTCTGATCATGAATGCGGACCTGATTTTGTCTTCTATGGATACTGCGGAGCTGTGAACATGATTCTGGGTCACTAACCACACGCCCTCTGGCCAAAACATCTGTCCCCTTCAGAATGTCAGTGTACCCCCGAATACCATTTGTGTGTTCATAAATACTAATGACAGTATTCCCTCGTTATTCACGAACTTGCTAACCACAATTTTGGCTATCTGCAAATCGCATCCGGAACTCTACACGACTGCATCGAGAGAGATACATTTATGAGAGAGAATGTGACGTGAGAAAGTAATGCGAGAAAGTGATGAGATAATCTTCATGTATTTAATAGCTTATTTACGTATTTATTATCCGCTAAATCTGCTATTCATGGGCATCTCCGAAGCTTATCCCCCTCACGAATAACAAGCGAATATTGTATACTCCTGAGTACTACATGAGGCAGCATCACCATAAGTCGGAGTGTGATAAAACCAATCCTCGAGCCACTCGTCCATCCCCTGCTGCTGCCGAACAGCTACACACGGAGGAGCTCAATGGCGATAACTGCCGTCAGAATCCCCCCCCCTCCCCCGTGCCACATCCCCGCGGCTTCCCAACTTCTCAGCTGCCAACTGAATCCTGGAAGTTGGTAAAATGAAAATAATTACCCCCGAAACAGATGTTTGGAATCCGAGTTACATTCCTCACATATGAGTACAAACCACTTAAATCAGAGCTTGGATTTGCACAAATGCTCCTGTCCCTGGCCTGCATTCTGCTGCTTTGTCTGTCAATTGCCAAGGCTGCTGCAAGTTGTGCATTCTACCCATCGCAGATTTTGCTCCCGCGCTGCACGGTACGGAGGCACGCTTCCCGGCGTGCGTACGGATGGTTTTTATCCCAGCAGCCTTAACACTTCACGGATAGTATGCGGACCATTGATGAGATTTTATTTCTTCTTTTTAATACTATATATGTTGTTTGTCTCTTAACTGTGATTCTTCAATACGTTACTGTCAGTCTTAATGTTAAGTGTGTGCTCTCCAATTACCCGGGTGAAAAAGTGGGCTGAGTTTTTGTCCCAATCCTGGCCAGCTGGCTCAAAAAAAACCGAATCAAACCAAGCGAGCACAGGGCCCGGGGGCGAGGCCGTTGCTTACCCCCGCTGGCGTCGGTGAGCTCTGTGCGCCGGATGAAGCCCAGATAGCCCGTCTTGGCCCACACGGCGTGCGTGTCTCCCACGGTGAGACGCGCGCTGAAGTGGTCCGTGTGCATCGACTGGTCCCCGTATATGGTGTAGTACCCGCTCGAGTTGTGAGGGCTCTGCACCCAGATCTGCGGGGGAAGCACAGCGTAGGGTGGCCACACACGCGTGTGAGCAGAGTCGCTCTCTCGCTCGCTCTCTCGCTTTCTCGCTGCACGAAAGGGAGATACGTCAGAGTCAACCGTGCGCTGTCTTCTCGCGATGCGTCAGAGTTGTCAGTGGAGATTCACTTTAGAAGCAATTGGCAAGGCATCTTAGCAGAACGTTTGTTGAGCCTGTGATGGTGCATTAAAGGTTGTACATTACCTCTCCCAAGTGGGAGTCTCCCAAGGGCCCGCGGGTCTCCGGGTTGGCAACAATCACCTTCACCCCAGGCATAATCTAATCCAGAAAAACAACGAGAGAACATTATACCGGTAAGAGAATAGCTGGTGTATATCAGTGCTAACGTTAACTTAACTGATGAACTCTTAAACTATGGTGGAATTGTGAAATTTGGCCACTCTTGGAAGGGAGTGGAGTAGGGACATTGGGGTTACGTGTATGACAGAGACGATGGCCATGACTCCAATACAGCAAACGTTGTGGGTTGATGAGTGGAGAACTTAAGATCAGTTCACACTGGCATGATCATGATGGATGATATTAATTTTATTCTATTGTGCAGAGCATACTCTATGTTTTAAGGCTGAACACAAGACGGCTGGCATCACAAGACCCGGTAACATTCCTTGCCATGGTGTATCAAACAGAGATCAATGTAAAGCATTTTGATATCTCAACAGCAAGAAATGATATGAATGTTCAGTCTTGTGACAAACATATGAAATACCAACATGCATGTTATTAAAGTCTATTTTTGGCTAGACGTCAAATAAAGATGGTCACTGCATCGCGTGTCCTCAGATGCACTTCTGCGGCCATCTGGAACGCTCTTCTTTCCGATATTAAGATTCCACTGGAGCAATGCAATTTAAAATCGAGTTCGAAAACTAATTTCTTTTGAACTTATTTTTGTGTTTAATTTGTTGTCCTTCCCCCGCACCTCTAATTAGCACGGTCGGTTACGTACGGTGCGAAGAAGTTCAACATACATACATACATGAGGTTATTTCTGATCATTATGAAACAACTTTGAAGCAGACACATGCGGCACACGTATGCAAGTTTATGCAAGTGCAATGTAGAACAACGGACAATTTTGATCTATGAAAAGTCAACGATGCAACGTCCTGTACGAGCCTTGACATGGCGGAGCTTTACCTTTCCAGATGCCATTAAGGGCAGGCTCAGGGGAGAGCCCTTCTCCACCATGCGGACCCTGGAGATGGTACAAAAGTTGAGCAAAGCTTCACGTCTTCATCGTGCAGTGGCGATCGCCCACTCACTCACGCGCAACTGTGTTATATTTTGTCATGTTACATACTGTGTGTTGCACACTTTGTGCGATTCTAATAAGAGCACAGTGCGATTTTAATACGGATTATAATATGGATGCAGTGCGATTCTAATATGAGTATAGCGCGATTCTAATACGAGCAAAGTGCGATACATACATTAAATGCATGTCATGATCAAAAAATACATTTGTAATGTTATTCGACACTGTTTTATGATACACGTAGTTGGTTTGATAACTTACTTCGCATCCAAGTGAATGTTATTGTGCTGTGTTGTCTAAATAGACGGACCTCTAACACGCTTGGCTAAAATAATTGTTAATTGAAGAGAGAGCTGTTTCCACTGCCAAAGCAGAAGACGTAATTTAAACAAAGTCAGCCGAGGTCTAAATGCTCATAAATGGGCGTTGATGATTGGCTGAGGGCATGGCTCAGCCCCACTAATGAGGGCTCAGATTGGCCGAAATTGGCACCCGCGTGCTGTGGTTTTCACACCGGATGATGATTGCTTGTGTTGCAATCGAAACGTCGTGAGAATTTTTTGGTTTTATTTTTATATTATTTTATTATTTCCCTTCTACGTGACTTTACCGAAAGAACCAAGAATATGAAAACACTACCGTTAATCAGAATTTGAACGTCAGTCGAAATCATGGGGTCCCTACGGGAGGCGAAACGTTAATCGAAAAATCGTGAACCCATGTCACTGTTAACCGAGGGACTACTGTACCATGGTATAACACACACAGTACACATCGCAGTATGGTTGCGGGCGCAGCAGTGCAGAGTGCGGGCGGTGTTGTGCAAGGTTTGTCCCCACAGGGGATTGTGAGCTGCAAGGTCACCTGTCGTGTCTCAGAGCCCTCATGTCCACGTAGACGGTGGTGGGATCAGGTCCGGCGGTACCCTACAACACAGACGACACCTTTGCGTTGTTGCCCTGCGCGACCGTAAACTCACACCGGCTTTGCAACCACAGGGATGTTGCAGCATGCAAGCATGGAGCATTTATGCTGGAATGCGCTCTCTCTCTCCGAGGTGTTGCTCAAAACACGTACACCAGTTAAACTATGAACAATTTTTTTGGTTTTACCAGGTAAGGCCCACTGAGCTCTATGGCTCTTTTTCAGAAGTTGTTTATCATGTGGCAATGATAGCAGCCAAATACTCTAAACGCACGTTGATTCTACATGTGGAGGGAAAAATTGGGAGGACCCGGAGAAAAATCCACGCCACCACGGGGAGAGAGAGAGACATGCAAACTCCAGATATACAGGCGTCGTCAGGGTTGGAATCGAACCCTTGACCACCTGTATACCGGGCGAGGTAGCTAACATCTCGCCATCGCGGCACCCCTTCATGGCAGCATGCTGTGAGCGTGGCCAGCACGGCACAGAGGGCCTGTGTGGTGGGGGTGGCCGGGTGAAGGCTAGAGGTGGGGCAATGAAAGGGATTACGACCAGGACAAATACCTGCTCTGCTACGTTGCCCATTTTCCGCGGCTAAAGAAAGATTTCATGACAAAGACGAACGCATAAAATGTATTTAAACGGGGGGGGGGGGGGGGGGGGGGGAAGAGTTGAAAATTGTTAGAAGAGGACAGGAAGAGGTACACAGCATAGAATGTACAGGAAAGGTCAGGGAAAAGTTGAAAGGAAGCACACTGCCAAAAGTCCTGTGTCAAACGAGTAGGCATGCCCACACACTCCAACCACACGAGTCATTATACAGGCTTGCTCATAAGAACCAGGTAACAACTATCACCGACTATTGATAACGGCTACATATCAATTATTTAATATCGTTCTGCGTCATTCACAACAGGGGATGGAACAACCGCTCGTATAAAACTATACAAGTAACAACTAAAGACCTGTTGTTTTTTTGGCAAAGGTCTCTTCTGGACTTGAATGAATTCCCAAGGTTATGGTAATTCACCCATACTGCCAGTCCATACCAATAACTTATAATACACATACATTGTTTTTCAAGTGTATGTGGTCGTAAACATTGATGAGCTCGAAATCCACACGCAACAAACACGTTAATCGATACACAATTTGGCAATTATCTTCCCACTAAAGCCTCAAGGAGTCTTAAAAAAATCGTTCTCATCGTGGGTGCTGCATTGTGACATTGCCATAAGCATGAATCAGACTCGAACCATATTTCAACTGGTAAGGCCCACTGAGCTTAATGTCTCGTTTATGTGGCAGGAATTCTGAGTACCCGGAGAAAACCCACACAACGCGAGGGGGTGACATGGCACTGCAAGTTTTTGGCTACCTTGCGAGAGGCTCCGGTGGTCACCGATGCAGACCCAAGCCTGCTGAGCTTCAGCAAGTGATGAGATTGGGTAGCATTGAGAGCGATTTTGTCAAAGCCACAGGTGCGTCATTTTTTTATTTTTACACTCTCTTTACTCAGGAAAGCCTCACTTAGTCTCAACTAATTTTTCAAGAGGGTCCTAACAAGATTTTGCAGGAGGGGGCGATGTTGCTGCTGCTGCTGTGTGATTCAAATTTGAGTGATTTGCAGGTACAGTTTCAGCATTGGGATGTTTGTATTGTTGTATGCTGAACTTCTTTCGCACTGCACGTAGCCAACCGTGTTAATAGGAGGTGCGAGGGGAAGGATAACAAACTGAATACAAAAATCAGACCGAAAGAAATTCGTTTTCAATCTAGAAAAAATAAATTAGTTTCCAATGTTTGGATCACACCAGTTACATTTTTTGTTTTTGTTACATAGCAACGCGACCTTGAAGCCTGCAAAGAACACGCCGAGTCCATTAGAAGTAGCTCAGGGCATGTGAAGTCGCTACTTGTATTGCTTGAAATGTACAAACACGAATACACAGTGCAACAGTACAAAGGAGCATTAGGATGCTTCGGATTCAGTGCTAATACCTAAGGCTCAGACAAGCAAAGTTAATGCACTCTTACAATTGTTATGGTTTCTTTTGAATCTCTGTGGCTCAGCGGGACAGACTATGGGGCTTTCAGACTTGTTGGGATTTATCGCCGATGCGTGATGTTGACAGAGAGAGCATGGAAGAGTCGCTGCTCGCACAGCATTGATGTGCGTAGCCGTCCGTGCAACAGAACACAAGGGGAGCAGCAGAAGCCGTCGGCGGCACACTCTCGTAGAAGAAGGGAGGCAAAGACAAAGATCTCCCGTATAGACTGTTGGGGCAAGTGCTGTTAGTGAGCACCTATGAAGGCCGGCCAAAGTACATGAGGAGGTGGGTGGGTGGCCAGTACCACGCCCGTCCGCCTGTCTACCTAGTGGTGATGTTTACACGCTGCACCAGGTACTCATTTGAGGCTGAATCGATCTAGGGGAGGGCCCAGGACCGATTCAGATAATCATCACTGGTGTTGGTGACCGTGAACGGGAATCGAACTCGGGTCGCCAGCTTCGAGGCGCGCACACACAGACACACATCGGTGACGCGCGCGCACACACACCTGCAGGCAAACGGCCACGTTGACCCGGCAGCCGAAGGTGGTGCTGACGGCGCGCGCCGACAGCCCCAGATCTTTGAAGAGCTTGGAGAAGGACTGCGTGAGCGCGATCCGCGGTCGCTCCTCCGCCACCACCACGCACGTGCGCACGCACGACAGGTTCACACCCTTCGCCTGCACGCAAGGACAGCCGACAGGATGTGACCGCCCGTCCGATCGCCCGCCTGATCGCCCACCCGCCCCGCTATTGGAACGCCACTCTGCACTCAAAACTTCAAAAAAAATGTTTACAAACCGCAAGGTGGCGCAGAGGGAGAGGGTGCAACTCAATTCCTGGTTTGGGGTTGACGTGGCCTATCCAGCCAATCAAATCAGTGCTACACAGGTAAGGCCCACTGAGCTACGTAGCTCTTTTTCAGAAGCGACCTGGCTATCACAAATGATAGCTCAACGAAGTGGCTTATCACCATGTGGAAATTTACAGCAAGCCAAATACTCTGAACGCATGTCGCTAAATGTGGAGGGAAAAACTGGAGGTGACAGAGTCGCGGCCGACCCCAGGACCTCCTGTATAACAGGCGAGATAGTTAACATCTCGCCACCATCAACAATGGGCGTTCACCATTGTTGATGAATATGAATTGCCCGCAGAAATAGAAGAGTGGAATTTGCAACCACTACCCCACGGGGACTGCGAATGCTCATTTGAGCAGGAAACCACCATGGGGCTTTCAGTGATCACACGGAGATGCCTGCCTCTCTCTTCTCTTCAACCAGCCATGTGAATCGGACTCCTCACCGACCTCCCAAGCAAAGCTTTTATCCTCCTCTTCCATGCCCCACCTACATGTTGATAAACTCTGGAACTCATTACTTTCCCTGCAGTATGCTGTCAATCACTTACCACTCTTGTATCTCTCTTGCCAATGCTGATTGGGTTCACAATAGGCCTGGCCTTTTGTTAACAAATCCTCATTTGAAAATATTCACCCACGGACGAGCCCATTACGGAGAGCACCGTTCCATATGCCTGCTATGCAGAGGCACATCGACGTGTCAAACCCTTGTTAATTAAGGCCAACAAAGCGCAGGATTGGGGGGGGGGGGGGGAGGGTGATGGGAGGTGTAGGGTGGCGGAGGGTGGACCTTGAGTGTGTCCGTCTGGGCGCCCAGGCCGCGCGTGCACAGGTCCATGACGGAGTACGAGCAGAAGGTATCCCGCACGCGGTACTGGCTCACGGCCGACAGCCACAGAGCCGGGTTCGACTCCAGCTCCAAGGGCGGGATCAGGAAAGACTGGTGGCCTGCATATACCCTGCAGTGACACACGCACGCACGCACACAAAGCGAGCGCACACGAAAGCTTACTCGAGGCTGCCGTGTTGTCGCAGTTACACGATATCGTGCCAAGATTCTGTGTAATCACAGAGGTTTAGAGAAAGCAGTGGTGTGTCAGTAAATGAAGCGGACATTTTTTGGACAAAACAAAAAAATATAATTTAATAACCCAAGAGCTTAAATTAGCTTGAAAAGGTCATTGTGCACTGCTTGCATGCGAGTAGAGCAGACAGTCACATCCCATGCATTAATTTCACGTAACGTAGATTCACCATCCCAAGCTGCGCTATTGTAGTCAAGGCACAAAAGCTCAATCTAGTAACTTCTTACAAATTCACTGGAGCATCACGTTACACGGTCAAAAGACCATTGAACAGAACCCCCGGGACAATTATTTGCGGCGTTTACTAATTGTGACTTTACCTGCAAGGCCAAAAACCCTGCTACGTTAAGGATACCGGACATGAAAGCTCCGACAATCAACAGATTTAAATCCCTTTTTTATATTCAATGATTGGTGACCCTTAACGTGCCGCTCTGAAGAAATTATTTTCATCGGCTGCTCTCCGATGCAATTCAAACTGAGGATCTCTGCTGTGTCAGCTTTGTATAATGAAACATGCTTCCGGCACATCTGCTGCTGAGCCACCACTTTCTGGTCACAGTGACCTTCAAAAGTTCTTACAAAAATGCACGAAATTAAACATTTTCAGGCGGCAAATCCAATAAAACAGCGGTGGCGCTTGCCCTTGGGCGCCATGAGTAGACACACTTTATTTGTTTATAATGTCCGAGTGAGATGACAGACGAGATAGAGATGTAGTGAGACGAGAGAAGGGAAATACAGATGCGAAGGAATTTAAGTGAAATGAGAGATATGTAGACAAAATACAAGTATGGAATCCATATGATAGAATAGAGATACAGACCAGATTGCGATGTTAACGAAGATTTTAATTCGAGTTGATAATTAGTTCACTTCATTTTGTTCACGAATATGGGGACCCTTGAGCTATTTCGGGCCCTTAGTTTGCTTTTGCCTGTGGCCATCACTGAACAGAGGATGAGTATGGCCAACACTCTTAAAGAGTATCTTGTGCTCAGATTAAATGGGGCGGTTCCTGGCACAAGGCCCAGACTGCAGCTCTGCCGCTCTGTCAAATGTAATTCAATCCGTTCCATGCCACGCTACGACGGATCGTGCGGTCGATGCCGACAGCCCCCCACGCCCCCCAAGACGTCGGTGCAGTGCAGTGCAGGCACTGCTGGGGCCGGTCCTTACCCTGAGAGGCACCACAGGACGAAGCCCAGGCCGCAGTAGGGGTCGAGGCAAAGGGCCACGAGGCGCGACGGGTACAGCTCGCACTGCAGTTTGATGGCCTGGCACAGGGCGCTCGCTGCCGCGTGCGACATCTGCTCCGACACACAAGCACACGACGCGCGCCAGCGTCACTCTCCAGCACCTGTGACCCCCACCCCCCTCACCCATCACTGTCCCATGCACACAATCTGTATGCGTGTATGTTGAACCTCTTTCGCACCGCACGCAGCCAATCGTGCTAATGGGAGGTGCTCTGTTCACGCATTGTGCTTCAAGGATAGAAACCTCGTAATACCATTTAACAGTATTATTAGGTGACCTGTTTGTAATAGAAAACATTATTATGTGACCTGTATGTAACAGTGGCGATTGATAACATTGATAAAGATGATAAAACATGAATGAAAATTCAGACAAAAGATGTGTTGGCTCTTAGGGCCTCATTCATGTAGGAATTCTGGGCACCTGGGTCATGTCATTATGTATGTATGTTGAACTTCTTTCGCACTGTACATCGCCAACCGTGCTAATCGAAGGTGTGGAGCCGTGCTGATCGGAGATGAGGCAGAGACAAGGGCAGTGTGGCGCCAGGCTCGTGTGATTGTTGACTGGGTAGAGACGTGCACGGTGTGTGGTGCCTGACGAGGAGCAGAGTTTCCTCCAAGCGCCCTACCTTGACGCCAGCCAGGATCCCCGTGGTGGACACGCTGAAGTCCAGGTAGGCCAGCATCTCAGGCGTGGGAGCTCGGTAAAGCTGCTTGGGGCTCTTCCGTGGGAGGTCGTCTGTGCATGAAAGGGCAACACTCCTCTGTTTCCTCACAAGTGCCTTGGGTCGTTGGCTTACCATGAATCTTTAAACAAGGCAGCGTGGCATCTTTTTACAAGCCGCCAAAGGTTAAACGCAAGTGGAACTTGTTTCGTGTAATCTGCATATTCATTACAAGCGTTTTGCTTGTTCACAACAAAGGGGACACGGAGCCCTCTGACTGTACAATGTGTCGTAAAGGTATCATCGTTTTACAGCGGGCAGATGGCGAGCTGTTGACAAGTGTGCTTGCAATCAATTATACAGCAATTACATGTTTTAATAAATTAACCAAATGTCATCAGTCACTCCCAAAATGTTACCATTGCTGTCAAATGCTCTGATAAAACCACTAGCGAAGATCCTTCCAGAAGACAGTAGAGAGCTCACCAGTATCGAGAATTGGAGGCCAGGATTTGATGTCTGCAGCAGCAGCCTCCTTTGACTTGAGCAGTTTCGTGACCGCTTGGGTCGTGAGCACACACACCGACTTGCTAACCTGTGCCGCAAACACGCACACAAATGCACGCACGCAGGCAAGGCCATTCGTTGCGGTGGAAGACAAATTAATGTGAAACCTTAATTAATAAAAACTAATTAGGAATATCACCCCTTATAATGCAAACTGCCCTTTCACAAGAGGGATGTAATTGCGCCCAAATATTGACCCTACCATCTTAGACACGGGTCACGCGGAGAGTTTGCATTCTGTGTATTAGGCCGCATGTGCATGAACACAGTCATGAATCATCACCATCACTGTGTCAAAGGATTCTTAAAATCGCACGTGAACCGGTCATTTGGAACAAACCAAACCTGTGATAGTGTAGGTTTCCGATTGCTCATATCATTATTATCTTAGCATTATTATATCGGTGGCATTACAACATATTAAAACCAACTGTCCATAGCAAAAAAAATATTTGGCGGCTCCCAACGATACGCTGGAATTGAGATGCAGCTGCAAGTAGACTCTCCGTTAATCTAATTTGGCAGCAGGGTGGTGCAGTGGTAACACTTGCGCCTTACAGTAAGTAGGGCCTGGCTTCGATGACTAACAACGTGCGCTTCGAGTGTTTGGCTGCTATAAATTTCCACGTGATAAGCCACTTCGTTGAGCTACATAGCTCAGTGGGCCTTACCTGGTAAAATAAAAATAAATGTTTAGCTTACTTTAGAACAAAACACACTGCACGGAGATTGCGCTGGGATTCATGACGGGGCTGCTTTTTGACCGCGATGCGAGTGGACGAGTCGCCGTGCTCGCAGCGGGTGACGCACCTCGACGATCATGCGCACGGTGGGGAGAGTGCTGGCCAGGTTCTGCGGGTGGGGAGGCCGCACGGTGACCGGGACGCAGCCCGTGTACAGGCAGCCGTAGAATGCCGCGATCAAGTCGATGCCTGCACAGCCACCGCGCACAGCAGCACCCATCAGACAGAGCGACGACTACTACAAAACCGAATACAGTACAACATTCTTGCGTACAAAGATGCAATGCGGAACTGCCAACAACAATGAGCTGAGAGGTAATTGGATAGGAGTGTAGGGTCAATGTAAATGACTGAGTGGATTAAATGGTTTGTAAATGCAAGTTCTGGGCGTAAGTTCTGGGCACCAACCACTGCCTCACACGGGCGCCACGGTGACGAGATGTTAACTACCTCGCCTGGTATACAGGAGGTCATGGGATAGATCCCGACACTGACGCCTGTATAACTGGAGTTTCCATGTCTCTCTCTCCCCGTGGTCGCGTTGATTTTTAGGCGGGTCCTCTGGTTTTCCCCTCCACATTTAGAAACATGCTTTCAGAGTATTTGGCTGCTATAGATTTCCACATGATAAGCCACTTCTTTGAGCTATCCTTTGTGGCCAGGTCGCTTCTGAAAAATAGCTATATAGCTCAGTGGGGTCTTCCCTGGACAATTCAATTAAAATAGTTAATAGCAAATAGTTCCAATGCCACCCTAGCCATGTGCTGTTTCGCTAACAGCAGCTGCTCTTCGGTCTACAAGGCCAACTTGGATCTTCATCTTCCTCCGTTGGGAGTTGATCGCACCGGCCTATGGGCTGCAAAACAAATATCTCCCTCAACCGCGCGAGTTGGCACAGCACCTGGGGGGTACACCAGTGCGACGTGGTCGCCCGAGTTGAGCCGCCCCTTCTCCGTGAGCAGCGTGGACACCCGCTCGGCGCGCCTGTGCAGTTGCAGGCACGTGGCCGTCGCCATCACCAGGCCCTGTAAAACACCCGAGCCACAGAGGGGCACATGCTCGACACGTTACGACGAGCAGTTTTTAAGCGAGCGATGCAACGTGGGACTTAGGAAACGAATACGTGGCAGGCGAGCGATGAATGAAGAACACAGCAAATGCTGAACAAGTGGTGCTCAATGTAGACGAATAGCCAAGTGATTTGTGTGTTTGATATCAAGCCAACCAAAATGAGAGGCGGGTATTCATTAATCACAAGCGCCCCTGGGGATAATTATCTAAATGGATCATCTCTCTTCTCACCACTCGAGTCAAAGTGATTTCCTGCTCAAATGAACATTGAAACGGTGATCATCTCTTATACAGCCCTCAGTCAGTGGTGGAAATTCCACATTTCTATGGCAGGGGTGAGTCTACCAATTACACATGCATCGGGGATATCAATTAAACCTCTTACACAAGATTTGAAACGGTAATTATTTGTGCCATTGTCAAATTGTAAACAATTCCTCCACTAAATTTTGTGCAACTTTTGGTGCCCTGAATATATCATTGGTTAAGCAGCTTTTTCTTATAATAGCATTATTTATTTATTTACCCAGGATAGCCACACTGGCTCCAAATACTCTCTTCAGAAAAGGCCTGCAGACATTGGGATGGTTAGCCAAAAGCCATTACATTGTACATGGTGGCCCAAAACGGATTATTATATTTATTTTAACAAATCACGTAGGGTCATTTAATTTATTTTAACACTGACATCAAAACATTTTAATGTTTTATTCTTTACGGTAATATTTGATCGTGGGGTCACCTCAAATTCGGCGTTTACAAATCTTGACCAAGAACCCCGAATGAATTGAGACAACAAAACATAATTGATGAATATGTAATATTAAAAAAAAAGTCCTAAATTTATGTAAAAAGATCATTAATGCATGCATTAATATTAATCGAAGTAAGCTTGAACATTTAATAACATAAACCCTATGTGGTTTGTTAAATCAATAACAACCCCTATTTGCCCTGACTTATTGGGCCAGCCTGTATATTTTTAGCTAACGGACACAATGGGACTCATCACCCAGTTCTCGCACGGTTGAACAGGACGGGCTGAATGGTGAGTTTATGCTTTCACCAGCAACGCGGCGGTCAGGCAAAGGGGTCGTGTCACCTTTGCATTGATCAGCGTGAAGAGATTGTGGTCGGGTGTCGTCACAGATCTGTCCTGCAGAACCTCTGTCAGGAAGTTGAACTGTATCAACAAAGACCAAGCCACAGACAGCAGATTCCATTAGTTTTGTCTCAACAGTAAAGACAAATATCCCTCGTAAGGCCTTAACAGACTGTGGGGGCAAGTTCTGTTAGCGAGCACCTATGAAGGCCGGCACGGCACACGAGGGGGTGGGTGGCCAACACCACGCCCGGCCGCTTTTGTCTTCCTTGTTCAGATAATCGTCACTGGTGTTGGCCATGAGCAGGAATGGAACTTGCGGTGCTGGGTTTGTAGCGTAGCGTGTAACCACTCCACTACCGCTCTCCACAATACAGTAACACCAGTATCAGCAAAATATGCAATGTGTTTGTTAGATGGAACACTGAAACTGCATAAAATACATTATATTTTTTTAGGTGACAGCAGTAATGCAATTACACATATACATGAAGAAACGTAGCGAAATATGCCATGCTGCCAATGACGTGCAGATAGAGAATGAAGGGCAAAACATTTAATAGTTGTTTTGCAATTTCTGTTTGTGTTTATTTAACTTCATAAAATGTGCACCTCTGAGTATCCACAGAGTGTTTTCGAATGTTCATGGCAAGCGTCGTACCGCTAGTCATATCAGCACAGTTGATAAAGTATGCAAGCTTTTGTATTGTATATACAGTGTAATAGCCTGTATTAAGTGGGCCAATTGGCTTCAGGCATTATGGGAAAATATCTGGCTGAATTATTATTTTGGTCACACCCTTGTTTAGTTTCCAGGCTGATTGAAGCAATTGTGAGACGTTCATAACACGGGAAGAAGAAGAATATCACAACACCAGAAAAACGGAAAACTAAATGTGAAGGCATTGTCTTGAGGTGTATTATCACGCAACCGGCAAAATAACAGGAGATTTGCTAATGTCCCTAGAAGACTTTGTGGGTTGTTCAGCAAAGCTACCTCCTCAAAATGGGATGAGCCTGGATAAACTGAGACAGGTGGCAAAAAAACCCAGCTGTGACACAGCGAGTGAGGTGGGTGAGGTGGGTGAGGTGGACGGGGTGGTGGCTGTAGGGGTCACCTTCTTGGTGTGGTCATGCTCGTCCGAGTGGTTGAGTTCTCTCCCACAGGCCTGCGCGATGCGCTTGCCAGCCACCAGGCTGCCCACCATCATCGAGGCGGGACCCACCTCTGTGTGACGGGAGTGGGGCCGGCAGCGGCAGCAGCAGCGGCAGCAGCAGCAGCAGCGGCAGCAGCAGCAGCAGCAGAGGGCACGATGTGAGAATGGCAACGCAACTGGGCCCGGCAACGCACGAAACGAGGGAGCGGCGTGGCACGCAGCAGGAGGGGATCTCCTTGAGGTGACGGCACTCAGCCGTGCCACAAGGTGTCAGGGGGAAGCGATGGCATCTTGTATTCTTGTGTGTTACTCTTGATGATAGGGACAGAGCCTTGTGGGATTTTTTTTATTCGTTATTGTTTATTCCCCGTTTTTAAATTTATTTATCATTTATCAAAATAAAGTGAATGCCTTTAAAGCTGGGAAATAAAATATTTGTCTCTCCTATGGTCTCAAGATTGATTAAGCCGAGCAATCTGTCCTCACGCAGCTTGTAAATGGTGAGGTCACTTTTACACACCGAGTACTGCTCATTAATGTTCACGTTACTTAACCAATGGTGGAAATCCCACCATTCCATTCACGGAACAGCTACTGGTAACTTCTTGCAAACGTGGTACTCATTGTATAGGCCCTAGGACAGAAAAATGTATTTAACCGACCTCTAAAAAAAGTAATCTAAACTCGCAACCTTTGGACTATGGTCAGGCACGCTACAGGTGCCACCCAGCTGGTGTTAATCTCAGCTGCGGTGGTGTACAAGACAAGGGGGTCGGGTCCACACCTGGCTGCTTCTGCCGTGGCTTGGGCAGGTTGGTGACGCAGGTGTGGGGACACATGAGGATGTTGCAGGGGTGCAGGGCGCCCTCCAGGAAGCGCTGGCGGCTCTCCGAGATGTGGACCCCTCCCAGCGGACACTTGGGCAGGGTGTTGGCTGGCACCAGCGCTAGGCAGTACACGCCCACCTGGTGGATGCTGTCTATCGCCTGCAGCAGTGCGCGGCACACAGTAAAGGCGTGGAGCTCGATGAATGGACGGGGGGGGGGGGGGTTGCGTGCGCACGGAAAATGCGTAGCAACGTGTTGACTGTCACAAGGGTTTATTCGTGAAAAGGGTACAAGCAAAGGCTCTCTGTACGGTTAATCACAGAGCCTAGGGAGAAATAATGTACAGCTCTATACTAGGAAAGGCCCACTGAGCTATGTAGCTTTTTCTTTCGGAAGCGACCTGGCCACAAATGATAGCTCAACGAAGTGGCTTATCGTGTGGCAATTTACAGAAGCAGTGGAGGAAAAACCCAGTCGATCCGTAGAAAAATCCACGCGACCACGGGGAGAGAGATCATGTAATCTCCAAATTCACAGCAGGTGTCGGGATCGAACCTTTGACCTGCATATTATCCTGCCTCCTCTCAATTGCTTGCGCATGTGTATTTTATAATTTTATCTGCCTGTTGAATCCCTCCAAAACAATTCTTGAGTTACACTTATAGGTAATTCTACGTAGATTTAATGAGTTTCCTAATAAATTATGTTATTGCTATGTGTCATCACAACAAATATCCATTGCCAAATAAAAGTAAATGAGTTTACATTAGGGTTTTGCTTGATGATTGATTTGCTTTCAGGTTAGTTTGGGTGAAGGTTTTATTTGGAATAAGAGTTCCAAATTTGCTTTGCTTTAGTACTGGGATCATAATCAGATAATTGGGTTTTGGGTAAACATCGAGGTTAGAGATCTGGGAAGACACCAACAAGTGGGGTGTGGTATAAGGGGTGGTGCATGGATTATACTCAAGAGGGACAATGGTGGTGATGTAACAGTGAGAGAGTTCACCTGCAACACCCGACTCATCCACTGGAAGCAGTCGTCCTCGGAAGCCTCGGGTCTTTGCTCGGCCACGACGACAATGCGGTCGTCTCTCAGCACGTTCACCGAAAACACGGCGATCCTGAGAGCACCAACACACACACGAAACGACACTCGGGTTGCAGTGTGGCACAGCACGCAGCCACACACCACAACACAACACGGCTATACAACACAGCCTACGGCAATGTAAAAATACGTGATGCAAAAAAAACACAATATAATTTTTTACATTTCATCGGACGGTTTGGAATATACACCAGCGCAGCAACGTCAAGTTAACACGTGATATGCAAACGATGCGGCACACAATGGAGCGTGCAGGGATTTAACAATGCACTCGGATACAATAAACAGTTGCGCATAGTAACACAATGCTGCAACGGCATGAAGATAAACAAATAAAAACACCACAATGCAATAAATAAATTAAAACGTCACAGAGTGCACTGCACTATACTGTGCAGCATAAAGGTTTCCGAAGCAATACAGCGCACCCATTGATGGAGAAGAGCACACGGCGAGTAGTGGCGGCACCAAGGGCTGGCCAGTAATGTCATGAACCACGACACAAACTTTTGATTTAAAGCTTTCGTGACTGCAGGGATTCATACTCTTGGTTCTTTCGGTAAAGTCACGTAGAAGGGAAATAAAATAATAATAAAAATACAAAACAATAAAATTCTCACGACGTGTCCACGAGCCCTCAAGGAAGGTAACAGCCAAGAAAGTGTGAAGCTCAACTTGCTCGGGAGTTTGTGTGCAGTCATGAGTGAGTGGACCGAGACCAATCATCAAACCTTCTGCACATGTGAACCTGGTTTACCCATGGATGGCCACCCAGATTAAAAGGGAGGATCTCAGCCGTGCTGCCTCAGTGCTCCGACGAAAGGATTAGCCCCAGTAATAATTTTCACACAAAGCACAGTGTTAGAAAGCCCTGCACCCAACGGTTATGCAAAAAAAATCTTTAAGCGTTGGTGCTGTAAATGTATGTTACACAATGAGAGTGCGAATTCAGTAATTCGTGGATAATTAAAGTGCACACGAAGCATCGCTACCAACGTTCAATCGGTCCAGCTTGTAAAAACGTGGCCATGAAAAGCTGCTGGATATTGCATCTCCTGGTGCTAGTGGGGTGCCACAGAGGCGAGATGTTAACTACCTCGCCTGGTATACAAGAGGTCTGGGATTCGATCTCGACCCCGAGCCGTGTATATTTGGAGTTTGCATGTTCTCATTGTGGTTGTATGGATTTTTCTCTGGGTCCTTACATTTCTCTCCACATTTAGAATCAATATGCATTCCAGATGGCCGCAGAAGTGCATCTGAAAGCAAGCGGTGCAGTGACCATCTTTACTCTTTGGTTCTTTCGGTAAAGTCACGTAGTTAGAAATATAATAGATCACGACGTTTCGATCGCCACACAAGCAATCGTCTTCAGACGATTGCTTGTGTGATTGCTTGTGTGGCGATCGAAACGTCGTGATATATTATTTTTCTACCTACGTGACTTTACCGACAAAATCAAAGAGCATGGATTCCTGCAGTCACGAAAGCTTCAAATCTAGAGTGACCATCTTATTCACTGGCTTGCCAAAAGCGACTGCGAGGATGACTGGAGTTCGCGTGATGGTTTATGCTCCTTGACGAGATCAGCAAGGTTTTGTAATTCATTTGTGGCAAGCACGTTGCATGTAATGAGTGCGACCTTATAACGTATTCGTTCGGCAACCGGAAGCCAATGCAACTCGGCGAGCACTGGACGGACATGGTCAGATCTTGCAGTACCCGTCACGTTGGGTGACCTTAACGGGAATTTCTAATCGTTAAGATTAACTGGGCGGCTAGTGGAAGGATGGAGAGAAACGAACACTGGCCTCGCGCCAGTTCGACAAGGGAGACACTCTTTGGTGTTTGAGCAAAGTTACAAGACTCGTTTTTTTTTTTGGACGCGTGTAAAGAAAGACAATTGCATAAAACAGTGGCTTCTACACATTTCTAAAGAATTGGATTTCAGGTCACACAGCGCTTGGCCATAAACCGGCTGAGTGATGGTCAGGCACAAACAATTGGCCTGACAACGGGAGACCAATGGTGGCCAGCGTCCCATTAAAAGCCATTATTAACGACTAAACACCACAGCAATCGCCAATGATTAACGGTTGCATAGAGGACTATTGACTTTGATGGGCCATTATAGGTCTTGTTTTAACCTGAATGATACATTCACTTACACTTATGTCACTTAACAAGCAAGCAATTAAACAACTCAGTGTTTTAATTTTCAATACCATTAGACTCACTAAATGTTTAGCGTAATTAATTAGAAAAAGGTAAATAAATCAATGTGGTCGTCACACAAAGCGCATTCACAAATAAAATGCAGCCTCCTCACTCGACTATATGTTGATAAAAAAAATACATCTATCAATGGGTTTTATTTCATTGCATATTAATGTATTTATGTACTTATTTTAACTATGCATTTGGTAACATAAAATACATGTTTTCATCATTCAATTATCACCACACTAATTTTCACTTTGTGATAAAAAAAAATGTTGGTTGCAAATGTTTTATTCTGTGTGCCACACAGTCAGTGATGGCGTTAGCAAGTGTGGTGTGATTTGTCGAGCCTGGGTCTGCTGTTTGGCATCTCAGTGTACGAGTACGCGAGCGCATGCGTGCGAGCATAGGAGTGAGAATGTGCGAGAGTGAGGGAGTGAGTGAGCGTGTGAGCATGTGAGTGAGTCAGCGAGGGAGTGAACCAAGCAGTTAGCCAGCGAGGGAGTGAGTGAGCGAGTGAGCATGTGAGTGAGCGAACGAGTTCGCGAGCAGGAGTGAGCAAGCGTGTGAGTGTACGAGTGAGCGAGCGTGGGAGTGTGCGAACAATTGAGTGAGAATGAGTGAATGAGCGTGCGGGTGAGTGTACGAGTGAGCGAGCGTGCGAACAATTGAGTGAGAATAAGTGAACGAGCGTGCGGGTGAGTGTACGAGTGAGCGAGCGTGCGAGTGAGTGTACGAGTGAGCGGGCGTGCGAGTGAGCAAGTAAGCATGTGAGTGAGCATGAGTAAGCGAGTGAGCGGGTGAGCATGTGAGTGAGCGAGCGAGTGAGCATATGAGTAAGCGAGCGTGCGAGTGAGCGTGTGAGTGAGCGAGCGAGTAAGCGGGTGAGCGTGCGAGCGAGCGTGTGAGCGGGTGAGCGTGCGAGTGAGCGTGCGAGTGAGCGAGCGTGTGAGTAAGCGAGCGTGTGAGTGAGCGAGCGAGTGAGCGTGCGAGTGAGCAAGTGAGTGAGTGAGCGTGCGAGTGAGCTCACCGTCCACGGTACACCAGCTTGACGGGCTCCACAGCCAGTGCGGTGGCGATGACGTCGTCGGCGCTGTGCCTCCGGCCTGCGACCATCATGAGGCCGTCCGTCTTGCCCACGGAAAACATCAGCCCGTTCTAGAAGCACACGCAGGCGTGGCACCGCCATCGTCATCATCGTTTAACTTTAACACTGCTCCCAATGTGTAATGAAGGCAATCGGAATTACGATTAGTATGCAGCATCAATATCCTAGAACAATCGTCAAGGTTTATAAAACAGTAAAAGTAGTAAAATAATGTCTGTTATTTTACGAGGTTTATAAAGACACATTAGAAATTGTGTAATGGGCACCCTGGGAAAACAGAATAATAATCTTTCGATTTAAAGCTTTTGTGACTGCAGGGATTCATATTATTCTTGGTTCTTTCGGTAAAGTCACGTAGAAGGGAAATAATACAATTATAAAAATAAAACAATAAAATTCTCACGACATTTCGATTGCAACACAAGCAATCATGATCAGGTGTGAAAACCACGGCAAGAAAATAAAAAAAAGTGGCGGTACTAACGTTAAGAAAAAATCGCCACTTTTTTCAAATTGTCTTGCTATGGTTTTCACATCTGATGATGATTGCTTGTGTTGCAATCGAAACGTCGTGCGAATTTTATTGTTTACTTTTTATTATTATTTTATGATTTCCCTTCTACGTGACTTTACCGAAAGAACCAAGAATAATAATCTGTTTACACTTTAGCGTCTTGGGATGCAGTTCAATTTAGACACCATAACCCAAATTGTTGCATATTTATAACTATTTCGTAAACTCTTAACGAGGGGGACAAGGATACCAACATGTAATTAAAACATTTTATTTGTTGACTTAAAAACCTACTTTACATTCGAGGAAATGCGATGGAAATTCTCCAAAAGAATTACCCAAAGTTGGCACAATGGCTCTGAATTGAGCACGCCGACTCGACACCCGCTCCCCTGACTGCCTGACACGCGCACTGCTGTAACACCGTATGTGCGTCATTATTACAGACAATTGGCAAATTGAGACGTACAGGCCCGAGGAAGCCGAGCAGTCCAGTTCTGATGAAGGGATACTGGCTGACGGGAGACCCCGTGGCACTGATAGGAAACACCTGCACGCACAGACCAGCACAACACACAGACACACACGGCAGGACTCAGATTTCCCGACCAGCTCGTATTGAAACTCGAAATGCAAATCACTGCTGTAATCCATTTCTGTACAAAACACGTGGGATTGGTGGTGGCGGCAATAGAAACTGGCAGAATTTTTCAACGCAGTATACAAATAAAGGTTATCGTGTCTGTGTGTGTTTTATATAAATAAGAGTGGTAGTGCGCTAGGAACCTAGTGATCTGAGTTCGATGCCTGCTCACAGCCAACACCAGCGACTATCTGAACTGGTCATGGGCTTCCCTTCGGTCGACTTAGCCTTAAATGAGTACCTAGTGCAGTGTGTAAACACGGCCACGAGGGAGACAAAGGCGGCCTGGCATGGTGCTGCTCAGCCACCCACTCATGTGCCATATCAGCCTTCATAGGTGCTCGCTATCCCCAAAAGTCTATTCGGGCTATATGGGGGGGGGGGGGGATCTTTGCCTGTTTATATTGAGATCTTTTGTGCAAGATTTTGTGAAATAATGTAACAGTTAACATCGCTACATAATACACAAAACATGCCAATGGCTGGACTGCTGCAAGTTAATCGTGTACGCTGATATTCAACGTAAAATTGTAAAAGAATAAAATTCAAAAAGACTTGTCACGTTACGTGTGTGGGCATCTATATATATAAAATCGCAAATCTGTCTGTCTTTCTGTGTGTCTGTCTGTCTGTGTGTCGCCGGACCATACGCAGTTTCATTGGACGAAATGTGAGGGATTTGCGAGACACGATTGGTCCGTTTGGTTTTCCACGGCGGTTGCCCCTGGCAACGGGTAGCTACGCATTCGCTGCGGGGTGGACGCCATTTTTAATTCCCGTTAAAAATATGCGCACGCATTAACACGCGACTCTGAGGTAAATTCATCAAAGTTTCACGTCCTCTTCACTCCCCCCCACCCCAATGTGTGCAATTACTATTATAGGGTCGGTAGATAATAAAATTATAGCGATTAGACAGTATTATTGTAGCGCGGGGGGGGGGGGGGGTAACGGCCCCAGTACCCAGCCTCAGCTGGGTGGGCAATTTAGGCGAGGCCGGAGGCTCTGCACGGTACTAGGCCTCGACACCCCACCACACTATAGGCCGTACATATTACTGCACAGCGACCGAGGAGATCGTGGCTGGGGGGGGGGGGGGGGTAGAAGCCCATCTGCGTATATATGTAAGGTTATTAAGAAATATATTTTTCACCCGGGCAACGCCGGGTACTTCTGCTAGTGTCAGTATAAAATGTATGCACGTATATAATTGATCATGACATGGTAAACGAGCCACCACGGACAATAATATATCTCGATATTTTCAACAAATGCGGGACCTGTTGCTGTTGAAGCACTTTTTTTGATTGACATCACCGCGGTGCAGCTGTGTATTGAACCGCATGTGAGTGACTGCAGGTGACATCATGAGCGTGCTACAATGATACACACTTGACCACTGCAATCAAGCAGAATTTTTCATCAACATCGCATCAGACTCGTGTAGGACAGAAAGCTCACAGGACATGCTGCAAAGGTCCAAACCTACAAGAGCTGTTTGTTTGTAATGTTGCATAGTGCTTCAAGTCAAGCACTCATGTGTTTTGCTAGCAAAAAAAAACACACCACACGTGTGATGAACACACAAGTTCAATTACAAGCCTTCACCCTCCTCTCCATGGCTGACATGACTTTGCAGGCACGAGGCGGGTAGCATCACCTCGCCTCCACATCCCATCCCGCTCTCGAGTCCCCGGGGAGCCGGGGAGAGTGAGACTGCCGCGGCAGGGATAGCGGGGGGCGGCAGGGACAGACCGACCTCAAAGATGCTCTTGGTGATGCCGGGCAGGCCGTAGTACGTGGAGGCTGTGGATCGGGAGCTCACGCAGATCTCTCCGATCTCGTCCGTCCGGCAAAGCTGGGGAGGCCCATCCGGCTTGACGACGCACATCAACGCTGTCGCCGCCAGCAGAGCACGCCACAGCATGTTGGCATTTGGGCATGGAGAACCTTCAAAGTGAGCTGTTTTTTTTATTTTACTAGGTAAGGCCCACTGAGCTATATAGCTCTTTTTCAGAAGCGACCTGGCCACAAACGATAGCCCAAAGAAGTGGCTTATGTTGGCATTTATAGCAGCGAAATACTCAAAAAGCATGTTTCTAAATGTGGAGGGAAAGACCCACGCGACCACAGGGCGAACATGGTCGAGATCGAACCCACGACCTCCTAAATACCAAATAAGGTAGGTAACATCTCACCACCACAGACACACAGCCTTCAATTGTTAACTTGCATTCATGGAGCGTGAAAATATAGCTGTGTGAGGAACACACTACATTCTGTATATTCACGACACATTTAACTTTAACGTGTAATTGATACACTGCACGACCACTCAATTTGGTCACACAAGTAGCGCAACGTTTTTAACAGAACACAATTCAATATACAGTAAAACCTTGGATTGCGAGCATAATTCGTTCCGGAAATGTGTTTGTAATCCAAAGCACTCGTATATCAAAGCACTCGTATATCAGTTGTGATCACGTGACGCTCAGCAGACAAAGCGTATACACGTACTACTCGTATTGCAAGACCTCGCTCGTTTATCAAATTCATATTTATTTACATGTTTTTCTCGTCTTGCAAAACACTCGCAGACCAAGTTACTCGCAATCCAAGGTTTTACTTTACTCTATATTCATCAAAGTGAATTGGTTCTTAATCCAACAGGATCAGAGTATGTTTTTTGTTTGCATTCTGACCACAAGCATTGTGATTAATGCAGACATGATACGTTGTAAAAGGTTTCATTTTGCTGTTTACACATCTTAACACCTGTTTTGTTTGCCAGAAAAAAGGGGAAAAAACAATTATTATATTTTGGTACTTGCAAAGGATATTTGATTTTTTATATTTTTTATTTTCATCATCACATCTAAGGGACAAGCAAGTGCAATTCCATGACAGATATGAGACATAGGCGAATAAGAGCTTCATAGATCATCAGATTCCTCCAGTATAAACAAAGATTCTGACACAGAGATGGAGGCAGCCACTCACCACCCGGCATGACGTTGCCGGAGTCTTGCACCGTGAGCACGGAGAGCTTCTCCTCCGAGTCGGCCCGGATCACGCCGAAGCTCAGGCCGTGCATGGAGAGGACGCCTCGCCCCGTGGGCCGGCTGCCCTCTGCACCCGGCCTGCACAACCACACGCACGACAACGACGATGATGAGCAACGCCAAAGCCTCGGGGCTCACTCTGCCTGCTGATCTTAAAATAATAGCATCATTATCAGCTATGATGTATCCACTGACACCAATCACGGGAATCGGCCTCCCAAAGCCGTTGCTACCTTTCAGGGTCTTGCAAAACCAAAATCCAACGAGGTCTGCTGGGGAGGGGGGGGGGTGGGTGGGTCTTCTGGATGGGTTCTGCAGGACGTTGCTGATGTTGACGAATTCCAACATCGTCCAGTGGGTGGCAAAGTCGATGGTATAAAACAAAAAGCTTCCGCGCATAAAGCAATTTTCATCGCTCGATCTCCACGGTTGACATCGTCTTTGGCGTGTTCGCTTCTTCGGCTGCCACTCTGGTTCACCGGCCATCAGCCTTTTCAGTAACATGCCCTGCCAAAGCTGACGTAACTTTCTTAGTTGAACAATGCAGGCTTTCGAGACCAATATTATCCATTATAGAGGTTTTTTTGGGTTAGATTAAGTAAATATAAATGTGTTGTTAAACCCACTACCTCCAGACCCAGCCAATTAGTAAGGTTTGTCATGCAAACACAACAACACATTGGCATGTTTTGTAACTAATTGGCATGTTTTGTTTACGTGAGAAACCTTACTAATTGGCCGTCGGGTGGTGGCATGTTTAACGACATATTTATCTTTACGTGATCTAACCCAAAAAACCTCCATGGTTAGCTTTCTTAAATCAAGTCAACATGATGTCAATGTCCGGTTTACTAAAAGTGTGTATAATTTACACACGTAATACTGTATATTCAAAACAAATTCAAATCAAGCCAAAATAAGATTTTATTTCATGCTCGGATACGCAAGTTTACTTCGTGTGAAAAGCGCAGGTGGAACTTGAGAAAACAGTAACGCGCGTGTTTACCTGCGAATAGCCACCGTGAGGCCCTCTGGAGAGCTGGCACAGGGACAGATAGCATCTGGCTTCAGTCCTCTGCTTTGGAAAGTGTTCAAGAAGGCATCGCAGGATGAGACAGACCCTGCAAAACAATAAAGAAGATCGCGTGCTGTTGCCAAAGCGAAAACACATTCTCATCACAAACCGCTGCGGCGCTTTAAGCTACGGGGCACGCGGGGCATGACGGATGCTTGCTCGCTCTGTTTGTAAAAAACTCAAATCCTCTCCGGGGTTAAGAGGAGCCATCCCTTGTCGGCCTCCGTGGATCAACCCCATTGATTAGTTAGGAGCGGAGCATGCGTGCATGTCGATTCCCCAAACGGCTGCAAGCCCGCGATCGGCAGTCCGAGCACAGCGAAGAGTCAAGCACATTTGACTGAGGAGGAGCGTGGTCCCACAGGATTAAGCATGGCAGGGCCTTTGAGGTGCGTGGGCCCAGCTGGCTCATAGCACTCGCCGCCAGTAACAAAACACATCGACCCGCTCGCGGCATTCGGGAACCCCCCCCACCCCCGCCAACAAGCAGCAAAATCGTATACCCTTCTAACCAACCTTGTAATTGTAACGCAAAAATGAATGGATTTGATTAATAAAAAAATTTCAAGGCTGATTATGAATATTCCAGCATACATGAATTTCATGAAGGATTATTGCATTTTGGATTATAAAGTATGGCCTGGGAGATCAAGGCCATCTGCAGCACCAGGTCATCAGCAGTGACAATTTCAGCAACAACAAGAAAAATATTAACTCATCTGCGCCCCATCATGCACACGAGACAATCAATCAAAAGTGGCGATGCTCTGAAGCTCCTCCAGATGGCCAGCATTTGCAAAACAAGAGGCTGCTCTTCCACTCTCGCACCACGCAGCCTGGTGACCTCATGTGTGGGTTTTGTGTTCAACAGCATCATGAGGAGGAATCACAGTCCCCGGGTCTTCAAAGTTTAAATGTCTCACTGCTCAAATGAACATGGGATGGTACTCATGGCTACCGCCAACCATGAGCCGGTCGTAGAAATGTCACGTTCTCAAGGCAGGGACCAGTCACTCCATACTTAAACGTACTGCTCTAAATTGAAAACTTATTTCTTTCGAATCGTTTTTTTGTGTGCTTAGTTTGTTGTCCTTTCTCAGCACCTCTGATTAGCATGGTTTGCTATGTACAGTGCAAAAGAAGTTCAACATACATAATACACTGCTGAATCTTAGAACACATAAAATGCTTTTACAATAACAATGGGAATGTTTAATGATTAAAGCCCAACAATTGGTCACGTATCAAAATATGTAAATGAAACAGGGAAACTACAGTTACTTCTATTAATCTCACTAAGCCATTATCATATCACTGCGAAATATCTGCAAAATTGTTTAAAAGATAAAGGCCCCATTTGTAATTGCCAGATGTATTAGGTAAGGTTGGCATGGCATGAAAGCATAGCTTAGATCCCCTCATTACTCACACCTATACTTAGTATTAAACGTATTAGTATTAAATGTATTCTTACATTTTTTCTTTATGCATTGGCTATTCATTAACACAATAACAAATAATTGTAATTTGCAGGGCAAAAATGCAAAAGCACGTAAAATGCTTTAACATAATATATTGACCAGAGCACGAAACAGAACCAAGATAATACGTGCAGTATTTCCAGCACATCTCATAAAACAACACTAACACGATGTGTATTGCTTCTGAAGGCAAATCAGAGGAAATGGAACTTGACTCTGATGCTCGGTGAACTAATCACGTTCATAGAGACAAAGCAAAGCACTCGCTCGTGTCTGTAATCAGACCACCCCATTTACAGACTGTCCTCGGGCGGTCACAGATTTTAATTCTCACACAATAGCTACTTAGAATTCAGAGAACGCCTGCTGGAGAGAGGCATAGTATGGTGCTGCAATACAGCAAAGTGTCAGGGAAAACTGGTCCCAATTCCTACGACATGAAAATTTCGCTCGTTTAAGAAAACACCGCGGGTCTAGAAGATCGTTACTCGTGCAGTGTAAAATGAGCTTAAGCACCAGCGTTAAAAACATATTAAAAATATTAATCTTCAACTGTACCCTTCAAAGGACAATCATTTTTAGAAGGATAGCTGCTCATGTGCTAGGTTTGGACAAAATACAACAATTTCTACTCGGCAGAATGTCTTACACGAAAATAAAAACATTGATAATATTGCAGTTGCCTGTTTTGAGAGGGCAGACTGCTTTGGAGGGAAGGCGTTTGACGTTATTCACAATACAAACAAGCACACCAGGCCGCACTGGATTGTGCACCTTGCTGCAATATGCTCATGTCACAGAGTGCCAAGCCGGTTGATGTCTGTGCAACCCGTAGGGTGTATTGGCAGCCTGTGCTCACACTACGTTTTTGCAACCCCATTTGTCTGCAAATCACGTGATGCAAAGTGAAGCGATCGCACTTAAAATGTGTCCCAGCATCGCGGTGCAGCCAGTTTTTAATCCAGAATTCACACACAAATGCATGACTGTGCAAGAATGCTACTTTCCATTTTCTATACAATTGTCAAATATAAAAAAAAATATTCCTTTTGTTTTGAACTCAGATCAGAAATATTTCCTTTGTTGCACGGCCATCAGGAGCAACATCAAGCACTGCACTGAAAATGAAAAGAGTGTGAGGGCATCTGTAAGGCTAATAACTTACAGCCCTTTGTCAATCCACTGCTGGACAAAGGCCTCTCCATGCTGTGTGGGTCACAAGGTGTTTGGCTCGATCAAACTGCTTGCAGTATGCCGGACACTCCCACGATAATAACAACAACAAAAAAGCTTTCTCTGACAACTCTGTCGGCAGGCATCAGGAGGTTTTACTGCATCGCTATTGGCGCAGTGCTGGGCTGGTGGGTGGGTGGGTGGATTGGGGTGGGGGGCGGCACGGGAAATGGTCAGGCTGCCACGACATCTGCCGGAAACACTCACAGGGGTTGGCCCCGTCGGACACGACGAGCATGCGCAGGGAGCTCAGGTTGACCTCGCGGTGCTCGCGGTGCGACATCATGGCCCAGTGCATGTCTCGCGACTTGACGGTGGCCACGCCGGCTGTGGGGAGGGCGCAGCATGGCCGGAGCACAGCACAGCAACAAACGGCAATGCACAGATGAGATGCCGCATCACAGAGGCCGCACTGCTTAGGTTTTATGTGCCGCTAACAAATCTCAGATCTGTTGATTCTGGTTTACTGCTCGTTATGATTCAACAAAGGCCACACTTTATTCTGCGGGAGACACGGAGCTTTTTGCAGCCAGGCTCCGCGATTGTGGATTTCTTTTCCGCCTCGGTCCATGAGAGAATCTGAGTATGTTACACTTTTTTAATCGTGTCTTAAAACTCACCTGTTTTTACAATAGGCTTTCTCCGTAACTTAGGCTTCATGTAAAGCCCTTTGAGGCCTTGTGCGAACTGCGTTATAAGATACCGAGTTTAAAAATATTACTATTACTCCATTGGGCGTGCAATTGCGGTAAGTGAATATACACTTGAAGGGTTTTTTTTTTTTACAAAATGCACCCAATTTTAAATACTGTAGTAATGACACGCATTTGATATGATAAACTGTGACGTAGACTAACCCAAAAACAAACAAATGATTTCCGTTCACCCATTGAAAATGCAAGACTAAATAGTTTTGATAGCAGTGGTTTACACAGCACCGTGTTTAAATAGCGGCATCCGCTGTAAGCAACATATTCTTACGTAATGCATGTGAGGGTTGCCATTATCACACTAAAAGTTAAATAATCGGTTGCTTCAGAGAAAATTTGCCTTTTACCCTCAAGCCAAACAATATTAACCCCCTCCTTCCACAAGAAGTAAAAACAAGAAAATGTTGTAATATTCATATAAAAGTAAGCATTTTTTCCCCCTTCGCAGCAAAAAAAAACAATCCATATTTAAAAGAGTACAGCGTGAACCGGCGAATGCCAAGCGACGATGCATCGCATGCACTGACAGGCAAATTTGTCTGCAAAGTGAACGATGGTGCCCTGCCGCCACCCCTTTCGCTGGCGCAGTTGCGCTCCCTTTCCACAGCGGTCACCTGCAGGCACAAAGGCCCACGGCGGAGAACGGCGGCTGCCAGCCACTGCGCTGCAAACAGCAAGTGAGCGTACGGTCATGAACGGGAGCGCTAGTCAGCTGTTGTGCGAGGCCTTCGGGCGTAGCTTGACAGATGCGGTGAATCGCTGCTCAAAGGCTGCAGAAGAATTTGGCTGAAAATGTCCCTAGAGCGGCAGTTAGTGGAGAGCCCATGTCACCACACAAACACTCGTGGGATGATACATCAATACAATCCACATGGGATACTGGAATGTAAATGAAAGCATCATGTCAGAAGACAGACGGCGATTGTAAGAGTCTTTTTGATAGATCACTTGATTACAAAACCTAAAAAACCAGTAACATTTAATGAAGAATGATTGCAGCAACACACAGTTCGAGCCAAGTTGACTCAATAAAATTGACATTACGATGCGAAAGAAGTAATTTTTTACAGTGCCCTGTTGTTAATTTACTTTGCGTCCATCTGCACAAAATAACATCCAGAAAAATGATGACAGTAGATTTGTAAATTTACCAAATGGTGTCAAAGGTATTTTTGACAAAGATGCAAATTGTTTGCAATTGCCATTAATTAGAAAACGCCCTCTAATGATCTTACGATTGCGAGTAAAGCGCTGTTATAGATTTTTAAGCGGAGTGGACTTCACATAAAACAACTCATCTAATTATTATTACTACTAATATGATCGCAGTGTTTCATGGTGAGTGTGCCACGATGGGAGTAGGTAGCGACGGAAAGGTGTGCACCGAAATCCGTACCTTTAAACTGGCACACCTTCTGGATCCAGGAGAGAGGATTCGCCTTCATGAGGGCGTACGGCACGCACACCACGTGCACCATGTTCATCACGCTCTGCACACACACACGACGCATGCACGAGTTTTGGCCCACCCTCCCCTACCACCTCCGCCGATCGCACTCACCCACAAGGGGGGGGGGGGGGGGGGGAAACTTCTCTCTGACTTCATTAGTGGCAGTCAAATGTACACCCAAGGCAAGCTCTCAACACACAGAAAACATCAAGGGCCAAAATTTGGCAAATTGGAATATTACCCTAAATAATTCATCTGGAAAGAAAAGCTCCTGCCCCAGTGCGGGGCTGGCAATCTGTTAAGATGAAAAGTGACATCATTGCAGGGCTATCCAACAAAGATATAGATTTAAATGTGCTTTGGGAACAACCCTTTGATTTTTTTAAAGATTAACATTGGACTGAGTAGTTCCAATCTTGGCTTGAGTTGACAGAACATTTAGCCAGAAATAATAAGCTAACATCTGTGAAAATACATTAATAAATAAAAATGTAGTTCATTTATAATATAGTATATTAAATAACGTATCTATATATATATATATACACAACTTTACTTTTACACGTGCAACATTTATGTACAGAACTTGGTACAATGCATTGGGTGCAAAGTCTGTGCCAAAGTGCCAAACCAACCTCTGGAATTTAGTGCCATGGGGAACCCTGATTTAGAATGTGACGTTTGGGTGCCGAGCGCTAAGAGGGCATCAAAACACAACGGGTTTGGGGTTGGCACAATGTGGCATGTGTGGGATGTAGCTGCATAGGTCTGTGATGGTTGTGCTGAACAGCTCTTCGAAGTGTTTCATAATGTTATGGCAGCTTCTTTGGGAACTAAATTTAGCTTGTGAAAAATCTCCGACACGCGGTCGTAAAACCAGAACAACACATCAAAGTGTGCGGGGGGTGTTTGTGGCCGCAGACGTCAGGGGTGTGAATCTCATAAAGTGTGAACATCATACCTGTATGTTAACTACACACAAGCCAAGTATCCACGGAGTTTGCCTGTTTGTAGGACTGTCGAATGGCAATCAACTGTTGTTTTCAGTACGGAGCCAGTGGTGGAAAACGCCAATTTCTGTGGCAAGGGAGCGTTTATCCGTACGGCAACCACTGTTGACTCCTCACATAGTGATGTCCGTTTAATCGACCGGAGAGGAATTTGAAATCACATTCGGAAGGTTGTAATTGCAAATTCCTTTGGGGGGTTGATAAAAATGAATACCACTTTGTGTTGTACCCATTCTCCCACACATCACTTCACCCCAGCTGTATAGGTGGTGTGGTAGAGCAGCGGTTCGCGCACAGCGCAATGAACCAAACAACCTGAGTTTAATTCATGGTTACGACTAACATTAGGGGTATGTTATATCTGGGTCGGTCTTGTAGAACCACCAGCCTTCACCAGCCCGCATTAACCAGCATGGGGAAGTATGGTCAAACAACAACTGACAAGGTGTGGGGAGGCCTTCATCCAGTCGTAGATTCACAGGTGTAAATGATGAGTAACTAATTTACTCACGGTTAGGACTCCATGCCATAGTCCCACGTCCCTTTTGAAATCCACGACGTTAATGAGGATGTCACCTGCACCAGGTCAGGAACACAACGTGAAATAATAATAATGCAGCATTCCACATTTAAAATATGTTTAAACACAACTTACATGACAAGGATGAATGTAATAGTGTATAGATTGTTCTATAAGTAACATTCAAAAATGCAACCTCCACAACAAGCTTAGCTTTAAAGTTTTGCCGAACAACAAAGGACGGACAACCTCGGTATGTGTCTAAAAGAGAAAAGATGTTTGTATTTTGGTTGCATCTTTGTCGTTAAGTGCACACACTATCAATATTGTCCAAGAGCTGGTACAGATAAAGAGAGTTGACTGTTTCTATGGGATCATTTTTGCCAGGATAAAGATGGTGAAAAAAAGAAAACGCTTTAGCCTATCCGGCAAGAATACAATAGGTGTCAAGATGTTCAATCACAAAATCGACACCCATCACAAGGGATCAAGTCTGCGGTAAACCATGCAAACAAAAAATGCTTTGATAATGTATGCATTGTCCTTGAACCTGGTACAGGCCAAACCGTTTCAAGGACAATGCATACATTATTTATCGAAGCATAGTTGTGCAGGTTAATGCATTAAGCACTTTAAAAATAAATCTAAAAACTTACTTTGTAAATTTTATTTTAAATAACATTCTCTTAACGTGTTATTTGTTATTATGCCTAGAAATTTGTTACGTGGACTTCATTTTGCCTACAATTTCACTTTCATTGTTCGTGACTGTATAGCATTATGTATTGCATTTTTTTGCACGACTAGTGCTATAGAAACAAAGTTTGATTGATTGATTTGATACCATGTGAGAGTTGAATGTGCCTGCGCACATATACGCGCGATTGAAGCACTACAACAAAGTGAACAGCAAAACAAAGGTGCAGAGTCCAGATAATCGAGGCCATTGGCTTCGATCTGTGGGGGGGCGAGTGGAGGAGGGGACTGGGGAGGGGACGGGAGGGGTTGAGGGGATGGGAGGGTGGGGGGGACTGGGGAGGTGCTTGCGATGCTCACCCTCCGTGTACCCGCACACTTGTGTGAGCGTCTGGCAGTGCGTGAGCATGGAGGCGCGTGACACGGCAACGCCCACCACCGTGCCCTCACGGCTCGTCTTGTACTGCACAGAAAGACAAAGATCCCCCCCGTATAGCCTTAACAGACTGTTGGGGCAAAGTGCTGTTAGGGAGCCACCTATGAAGCACGGCTCGGCACACGAGAGGGGTGGGGTGGCCAACACCACGCCCTTCAGTCTCCCGCGTGGTGATGTATACACACTGCACCAGGTACTCATTTGAGGCTGAGTCGACCTAGGGAAGGCCCAGGACTCGTTCAGATAATCGTCACTGGTGTTGGCCGTGAGCTGGAATCGAACTTGGGTCGCCGGATTCGTAGCGCAGCACAGCGATAACCGCTACACCACCGCTCGCGCAGACACGCCGAGCACAGCAATCAGTTGCGGAACGCCGTTGCCATTGGGCCCTTGGACACACAATGAAATCGGGCCTAGTCTGGTCAATCTCACCCCTCTTCATTGTGCAGCTGGACCAACCTGCTCACTCGATGACTAAGCCTCTGAAAGCTATACTGCTATGTACTGAATAAGCTGTGCTAATAAGCCCTGTATAATGCTCAGAGCATCTAGAATTGTTAATCCTCATGAAATGATTAATCTTAAAAAAATACTTCTTTAACAACTATCCAGATTACCACCCGGTTTTGCGATGAGACAAGGGTGGGCGAGATGAGCGACCTCACTGCACACCGGCAGCCACGCATCGACGCGGAGGGCTTACGCTGTACACGCTTCGTCGAACTGGATAAATAACCCAAAGCTGCAAGAATGGCCAAACTGCAGCAGCAGAGCTACACGATTCACATCTCATGGCTTAATTGGTACTAAGCTCCGTTAATTGCACCCAAATAGAGTATTAATATGGCACTCTGTGTGCCGTATCCCAGCAAGCTGAAGCCTTAATCCAAACAATGTAGGAACAATCACAGCAGTCTCTTCAAAGCCAAGACTGTGTGATGCTTCATTTCTGGATTTTAAGAAAAACGATTGGGGCAAAAATCATTAAGTTGGCAATATTTTTGACAAAATAAGATAAACTTCAATTGAGAAACCAACTACCAAAGTTTCTCAGGCAAAAGACAAAAGCAGCAAAGACATCTTGAACATGACAGTGTGAGATTACTGCAGGTCACCACATTTAAGTGGCTTGGCATAGAAATTATAATTAGCAACAAAGGGACCATTTACATCCCGACGATTCTCTCTGTGCGGGTAAGGTCCTTCAGCAGACTAAAGGGAATAAGGGGAGACATTAAGGTCACTGTGGGAACAGAACGCTTGTCTATGAAGAACAAGGCACTGTACTCAGCGTGGCACATTGATGAGAGAGTGGCAAACTGGGCAGCTTTGAGCCGGAACGTTTCAGCGGGACACATCGGGGCACTGCAGCCTCTCGTGTTTGGATTTAACGATAGCCATTGTGTCGATGGGCATGACGTGTCCCACAAAATCTACGTATTGTCCACGATTAACAGGAAACAAAGATCATCTGAAAATGTACATTTCCAACATCTTCAACTTTGCATTCCTACAAGGCAATATAGGCAATGTTACTTCTTCTTCATCCGTATGGCTGACGTAGATGCAGAGCAAAAACTACAATTTCACATTCAGGTGGTCAAGCCAAATAACCGTGTCAGGAGTAGCAATGTTACTGAACAGAGACAACACATTATGTAGTGAGGGTGTTTAAAGTATACAGCAGAAGTATATGCCATTTGCTCCATGCACTCCATTAGAAGGGTTCACAGGCACAAATTAAACAGTGAACCGCAAATGAAAACCGAACCGCGGAAGAATCACCTCGATGTACGCCGCGTCACTGTTGCTCTCGCGGGGATTGGCGGGCCAGTCTTTGGGAGGCTTGGAGAGGTTCTTAGAGTCGGTCACAAACCACGTGAGACGGGGCCAGCCTGTGGACCACACGGAAGCGCCGAAACCAGAGACATCAACCAACACGAACCTTCGGTGGCTTCACTCGACTGAGAGTGAAGTTGACCGTCTCTCACAACCGCGCTCGCGTCGCAAACAAGGTGCCGAAGCAGAACGAGATGTAAGTTTCCATGGGATGTTGGGGTGGTGGGGGGGAAGATATCCCACAACGCCTTGCAAGCCACCAAACTGGTACTCTTCTAATGTATTAGCAGTTACACAATGTTATACCTGGATAGTGTTTCAATAATAAAGTGGAAATCCTCCTGTCCTCAAATGATCAACGTGATGGTGGTGTTATCTCCATTCGCAGTCCTATCCCAAGTGGTGTAAATTCCACAATACTACAAACTGCCAAGCCAAATTGCGCTGGCGCGGAATTTAATTTATCATTTAACATTGACGTACGTGTCTGCAATATTTTTCAACATCTCACGTGACAGTCAATTTTTTGCTCCAATTTCTATTCGTTTCATCGCTGTGCTCAACTTTACTTGTTTTGCCGTTGTCATTTCGGTGACCCAGGTCGCGCTCACGCAAATTACTCTTTTACCCTGGTCCCTTTGAGTTATCTACCTGGTTCGACAGACCACACTTGCCGTTGCAACAGGGCTACGAGACTCGCCTTTAAACGTGATGGTCTCCCCCGTGGGGGCCTTTGGCAGCCCCTTGAGGCACACGTCGCTCGTCAACGCCACGGAGATTCCACAGCTGCCCAGCAGGAAGCCGATCTGCTGGCTGCCTGCGTCCTGCACACACACACACACACGCGCGCCACAGGGCAGTTCAACGCTTGGCAGGGCACTCGGATGAGGTCACACGCTTGAGCAGCTTACCAAATTAATTCAGCTGCTAATTCTATCTGGCTGCCAGTCAAGTGTTTGAAAATATAATAATAGAGATTATTAAGTAATACGCTCTCCAATGGCAGTGGTTGAATTGTGGAATCAAGTTTCCAGGCCTGGCAAAACCGCATTTAGTAACGGTTTATCAGGAATCAATTAATACTTTAAGAATAGTGCACTTTGTTTAATCCGGGAAGGCCTCACTGAAACCTAGTTGTAGCATTAAGAATCGTTTTTCAGGAGGGTCCTGCATTCAGGCATTCGGCCAATTCCATTGTGAAAGGAAATGGAAGTAACCGGGAGAAAACCCACACACACAAGGGGGCAATACTCAAAGAGTTCCACACGGATATATTCATGAATCCATTGTCTCCTCGTGACCTCACAGCCAAAGCCTTAAATATCTGGAATTCCTACGCAGTCTTCTAACCAATTATGAACAGAGTTCAAATCCTGTTGAGCTTGCAAGATCTGACACGATTGAGCAGAGGGTAACTTAAAACTCGATAACATAGTTCCATATCTACTCAAGACAACAGTTCAAAAAAATGGTATGCTTAACAAAACTTGCTTTGTAGCAAAATATGCATTTCTTACCAAAGCTTTACTGGCCATACGCAAAAAATGCAATCCAAAAATATACAAAAACTGTTTTTCCCCTAAAAATACGAACCACAATGCAAACATGTACAGCATAAAAGCTGTGAACAGTCCCAGAGTCTTGTAAATAGCTTTGTCTGTCTTATACTTACTGGATAACGGCCATGGTAGGGCATTTACAACACGACTGGGCAAAAATATACAGATGTCAAAGTTCCTGCCCGGTGGAATGCAGTGCATGAATAATGGGCCTCTGTGTCTGACGGCTGCTACTTTGTGATTAACGTTTCTCAGTGAAATTAGAGAAAGGCGGTCGTCATTGAGTATGAAAAGACTGTATTTAAAACAATAAAACCAAACTACTTTAAGCAATGCTTTGTATTATTTGCTATCACATTTCCAAGCAACTCAAGTTTCTAGGTCACGTCCAAGGGAATGTGGCTCTGACCGCAGATGCGCTAGGTGACCAAGAACGCACCGTACTGCTTTTTGTTCAGTTTGTTGTTCTTCCCCCGCACCTCGATGAGCACAGGAATCCATGATTTGCAACGGTCGGCTACATACGGTGCAAAACAAGTTCAACATACATACGTACACACACATACCTTGCTCGTCAAAGGCACCTCGATGGGCACGGGGATGAGGCCTCCTATCAAGCAGCCGTAGAAGGCAACGACAAAGGCGGCCGGATCGCTGTTGGGGTAGACCAGCGCAACCTGAACAAGAACACAACGGCGCTCTCCGTCAGCATCCGCACGATGCCCGCAAGGCCTCTCTTCACGTGGCAGGCGATAAAAAAAAAAACATGAGAGTTGTAATATTGAGCATGACAGAACGTCGGCCGGAATCACATCGTGCAGTGTCCATGCGGGCGAGTAGATGGGGGCCCACCGCTGGGTCATATGACCCACACGCCGCCCCCACAAAGTGGATTTCATTGCAAAGTATTCAGATGTGGCGCTTGCTATCCGTGACTTTTTTTTTCTCTTTGATGGTAACCCTAGGTGCACAGAAACCATATATCTCCCAGTTAGATTATTTAATAGATTCTCATGTTTTTGTATTCTGCTCTCTCTCTTCTCTTCAGCTGCCGATCGCGAATGATGACGACTGTGGAGAAAGCTCCCCACGCCTTGCAAGGTCACGGTTTAATTGTTACTGCTAGAGATGCCGTTGATTTAACGTGGAACCAGACTGTATCCTGACAATGCTATATTCGTCCAGACTCTGCCTGGAAAATGCATTTTTTTTATCTCTTATATATGTACGTTGAACTTTTTTCGTACCGTACGTAGCCAATCGTGCTAATCGAAGATGCAGAAGTAGAGATCAAAGACCCCCAAGTGAAAGGTGATATTTTTCTGCATATTAGGTCAGGCTATATGAAAGTTGGAAAGATGAAGGTAAGACATTTCAAAGCTAAGCTGTGCAAGGAAAACAAATCGATGAAGTAAAGAATTCTGCACTGCAGGCGAGATAGCTTCGTGTAGTGCAGATGGCAGCAATTGGCCAAGAGTGGGGACAGCAAATCAGAGAAGGGATGATGGAATGGAGTTCATGAGAGCAATGGCCATGAAAGTAATGGGAAACCAGAAAGAAGTGGGTAGCAGATTGATGACGGTGAGAGTGGTGGCAGTGGATTAACGAGCGTGGAATCATCGGGTGGACAGATATACGATTGCAGCAACCCAATCGCAAATATGAATGCAGAATTCCAATACGAGACGGACTCGTGCTTGACGTAGCAGCAGAAGCTATCCCCTGACATAAAGAACGATTTTTGCACAGTGTGTAACTAACGCACGAAAGTGATCTCATCAGCAAAGGCACAGACCCTTTCACACGGAGGGAAGCAGCAGCAGCAGCATACTCACCCTGTTGCCGGGCCGAAGGAGAGGCTCTTGCTTGGTCCCCAGCTTGTTCAGCAGTGTGTATGCCAGCTTCAGACTCTGCTTCCACAGTTTGCCTGCACAAAGAAAAAGATCCCCCGTGTAGCATTAACAGACTGTTTGGGTAAGTGCTGTTAGCCAGCAGCTATGAAGGCTGGCACGGCACGCGACGGAGTGGGTGGCCAGCACCACTGTCTCCCAAGTGGCGATGTTTACGCGTTGCTTCAGGTACTAATTTCAGGCCGAGTCATCCTAGGGGAGGCCCAGCACCGGTTCAGATAATCGTCACTGGTGTTGGTGGCCATGAGGGGGAATGTAACCCAGGTCAACGGGGTCGTAGCGCAGCACGCTAACCGCTGCGCCACCACTCTCCACTTGCCTGCATAGACCACCGCCCACACACACAAAACCTTCTCACAGGCACTGCTGTGGCAGGAAGTGCAACAAATCCGCCCTGCTACAAGTTCTTAAACTTTCTTAGGCATTTGAAATTGGCATTTCGACATTGTGATGCCGGCCAATACCAAACTAGAATATAAAAAGTAAAATTAAATACCGCAGGAGTTCAAGTCGCTTGCCAACATTTTATCAGCCTTAATTGTAAAAAAAATGCCAACTTTATTTTAAAATAATGGGCACAGAGTAAACTGGAAACATAAAATGAGTGCAATAATAATAATCATAAAGACGAATTGTGCATATGTGACTAATTACTGGTAAGCTGAGATGACAATGCAGCAAACTATGACTCAAATCTATCTTTGTCCAACTCACGATCAGAGTTACAACGACTGCGCTGACCAGCCCCGTGGTTGCAAGTTTACTGGCCGCGGCCTGCACTCTGACCGTCTACGTTGTGTCTCACAAGTGGATAGAAATAGCCGGAGCCACTCTGGCCTCACGTGAGCTCCGTGCAGCTGCCATTTGTGCAACAGGGCGGCTCACCGAGCGATCACTCTGCCATCTCGTGCAAAAGCAATGGAGCTGCGGAGGTCAATGCTTTGAGCATCGCTCCGCCAGGTCACGACACGGCAAAGACAGACGTTTAATTTCACAAATGTTGTTTGGAAACGTGCCTTTCTAGCGTCAAGACGGGCTTATCACCCGCACTGTCGTAGTAGAAGCGCATTTACACGAGCTTGAATTTCCAGTGGTCTGCAAGCCCTGAGCACCTCTCCCATTTCAACTATCAGGGCCGGACTTCAATATCCCTTGAGTGCCTGGCTGTAGCATGACCTAAATGTTGATGTCATCCAGGATTGAAACAAGTTCCCAAGTTTGTCAGCCCGTGTGTGTGCTGCTATTCCTGTGAGTTCTATCACTGGCGGAGAGCCTGCAAACACGCGAAGTGGAGGCAGTCTGTGCTCTCGGTGGTAACAGCTGAGAGGGCTTTTGTGGGTAAACACGATTGACCCTTGGCTCCACCACCGTAAACACGTTCTGAAACTGCGCCACACAGTCTTGTCTACAATAAACGGCAGCTCATTGTTTGGCCAGAGGTTCCAATTATAATGTTTAACCGTATCTTCTGAAATGTATATATCTGCCCTACAAAGAGTCAGCTGAATGGCAAATTTGGTGTTTCACGAATAAATGTGGCAGTAATTTTAATTTATTTACTTATTTTACTTATTAAAACAGCTAAAAAATGTAAAAGCGTTCCTGGAAAAAAAAAGTGAAAAGTGATTAGACAACGGTATGCATTCATTTAAATATCATTAAGTTACAATAATTAAACTCTCACATTAATTCAAGGACATGTCTTGTTACAATGTTGCATGCTGTTTCGTGTCAAGTTTATTACCAAACTGTTGCCCAATACAACTCAGAACAAGCGAGTCTCATCTGTACATAGCATGGCCTACCGCACATTTTAAGACAACATTAACGATACGCAGCATGCGTGTGATTCATGGCATTACCATGCTTTGTACGAGCAAACACCACGGTAGGGTGGCCCGTGGAGTTTCTCTGCACTCATGCATTTTACACTTTGGTGGAGTCACTTGCATGAAGGTAAGATACAAACACGCGTGCCTTTGCACGGGGTTAAGATTTGCACTCCTCAGTTCCCCGGCAAGCTGTGAATTTGACACAAATCTCAATGGAATCAGAGGTCAAAGGTGGAGGTTAGACCGTGGGGGTAAGCGGGCCGGGAGACATGGCCGAGGGCCCCGTACCGTAGGTGAGCGAGCACTGGGGCCGCCCAGTCGTGTCCAGGGCGGTAAGGCACAGCGCCTTGGCCGACTGCGTGGCCCAGCGCTGCAGGGCAGCCTCCAGCGAGGGAGGCCAATTGGTCACCACTCCCAGCGGCTCCCCCTTGACGGGTGTTGTCTGCGCGCCCTCTGGCTTGGGCTGGTTGGGGTCGGGTTGTGGCACTGCTCATCGCGCGGCATGCGGGATTGCACACAGAAGCACCGCGTCATCTCTCGCAGCAAGGTCAGAGACTCGGCGTGCCACTGAATATGGGCAGCGTCATAACGTGCCGGCTGGTAGCACGGGTGCCCGAGTGGTCATCACGTTGCCCACTCGGCCACCTTGTCTGGGGTTGAGAGTTGAATTCATGCAGGTCGTCAAAGATTTATTTCAAGTAATTCGAAACAACAGTGTGCTGTAAAGTAGACGTTAAAGACCATTTCACAATCATTTGCTAGAAGAAGTCACCGTGTTCAAATTGCAGAGTTGAAAATTACCCGCTTTGTTTGCAAGAGATTTGATTGACAACACAACATACATTATAAAGGCGCAAGGGCATCAGGGGCTGAACCATGCTGCAATTGTACAAGCTCCCCTTGTGAATGGTCCCTATAGTTTGAAGTTAAGAAACAGCTGACCGTGACATTTCTTCTCAGGCAGACAAGTGCACTGCTCATTGTTTCATTGTTGTAGCAAATCGATACCGACATGTAGAGCAATGCTACCCAACGAGGCCAGCGAGAGGGCACACAGCAGCAGCAGCAGCAGCCCATGCACAGATCTCACTTCCCTTTTACTCTTCCATCTCCAGTGCCGCTTAAGACAAAATAATGTGTGGTGCGGGAACAGCACCAAATCAGGTTCAAGGTAAGTATTTCTTGAAATAATGGCAAACCAAAAATTTGAATCCCAACGCTTACTCTGCACACTAGGTGCCCCACACACAAAACCAGACAAGGCTTACTTTTACAGGCTGGAATTTAGTCTTGTTCGGGTATTATATGCATAAGCAGCACTCAAATGAGCAATGTTTTTTTTTTTGTAATAACTATACCATAATGTTAAGTTGTGTTTCCTGTAGCATGTACTGTTAATAGTGAACTGCTCATGCAGATGAGCTATTAAGTCACACTTCCAGTAACTACTCCTGAATCACACGTGTTCAACAACAATGCAATGGGCACTGAAATATACGGAGGTTACTTGCTTTGAACAACAGCTGTCGTCTCATACAATCAAGGCACAGAAGCCCCAATACTAACCGGTGTGTAACTGAGAGGCGATGCTACAAACATGCTATTTTAAAATATATATGAAAAACGAATGCCTCAAAAATAAATAAAGATGCAGGTGTTTTTCAGGGTAATTAATGGTCGTTAAAGCCATCTGTGCAAGTTTAAATATATGTTAACATCCATTTCTGTTAATTCTCAATGACTAGTCACTCTCCGTAAATGCTTTAATTAGGGTGCATCTTTAAGAGTTACACAATGAACTAATTGTGCTAATAGCAACCGCGCGGCGCCGTACTGGCAAGTACGTGAAATCGGCGCTAATGATCAACACACCTGCACACATGGCACTCTTGTGCCAACCAAATGCCCAATTTATGTCGAGGTTTGTTTGTTTTAATCGCCAACCATAAGACCCAGCCTCTGCCTCCATAGCATTCTTATAAACATTGTCTTAAATACAAGTTGTGTTAAACTACATTTACAAGACCCGTGGAAGAGTTGTGGGTACTGCACTGGTCATGCAAATAAGACACGGTGAAGGGCCAGCCCAGAGCCACCCCAGCGCCACGATTGATTCCTGGATGCATGATCCAGTGAATTCCAGGCAGAACACGCAAAAGGAACACTCCCATTTTTTTTTATAAAAAGGAGCAAAGCTCTAATTACCCTTGATTTTTACATCACTGCAATGGGGCACGTACTCATGGGGCAAAGTAAAATGAGGGAAAATGTAGGCATCAGCACTGAACATGAAGAGCCCCAAGACTGCTTTAGCTGAATATTATTTGATCTTATTGTCAATTTCACGGTTGATTCTGTCTTGTTATGCTGCAACAAGGTGCACCGCACGGAGCAGTCACAGCGCAGCGTTTAGCTGAAAATCACGGAACGGCACCGCAAGTGGTGGCAGTTGGTAAGCCGCAACCCCGAGTGGTACCTTCCAAGAGCTCATCAAAGTCGTCGACAAAGAACTCTTTGAGTGGCGGCCGCTTGGGTCTCTTGAGGGTGTTGAGAAGCTGCTGGATTTTGGAGGAGACTCGGCTGTTGACTGGCATCCCTGGACCAGAGGAACACAAAGACTCGGCACCGACGACGAAAAAAAAATCTACACTCCTAAATCACATGAAGGGGGGGGACCAAACCAATATAACCATTGGAGCCTCCAAGCAAATATATGAAAGTACAAATGTTTCATCGATAACATGTGCCAAACTGTAATATTCCGCAATGCTTTAAAAGTCAAAGTACACCACATTCAAATTGTTGTCAAGAGGCAGTTCTTAGTCAGTGTTGGAAATTCCAGGGTTCAGATTATACCAAAGGACAACCAAGCATTAATTTTATACCAAGCACTGCTCTCCCAGGCGATGAACATCTTACTAACGCCACAGGAATGAGGACCACATTCAGACTTGGCCAGGGTGAGAACTCACGTTCACATAGATGGGAGCTCTGCCACTCAAACAGCTGTTTTAATATTCCAGCCACTTCCTCAACATTGCTAAACTAAGTTTAGAGTTCCAAGTTCCATGATTTTATCTGATAAAAATATATATATGGGCATTCATCCACATTTCATTCCTTAATTTATGTTGTTGTAAAAATAAATTACTTCATATGAAAATATTTAAGTTTGTAACTATGTCATGCGAAATGAGAACGAGAAGACAAATGCATAAAATGGAAACGTCTGTGTGCAATTGTAAATCAATTGTTCACTTCAATGGAAACTAACTTTTCATATCATACATTTTAAAACCTGTGTTTTAATGAACTCTACCTCTGATTAGCACGGTTGGCTGCGTAAGGTGCAAAAGAAGTTCAACTTATATACATTCAACATACATATTTACATGAAATGCAAGATATAAAACTGGAGCAACATATTGAATATCATCAAGAATTCAAGGACATACCATGTGGTACCAAGAATGGTCTCCAGTGGAAAATATAAGAATAATTTGCAGATGCAACAGCTGAATGCACATTGCACTTTCACTTAAGATCCACAAGCCATTCCATTTAAAGATATCACACTTAACATTTTACTCAGTACACTTAACAAACGACTTGATTTATTTAATATCTAAGACCACACCTTTAAAATGTGTATTTTGCGGATAAAGTCTAAGGTTTTCTAAAACAACACAAATTAAACACTATCACATGGCACGACGCTGGCGAGATGTTAACTACCTCGTCTGGTATGCAGGAGGTGGTGGGTTTGATCCTGACCCTGACGGCTGTATATTTGGAGTTTGGTTGTTCTCACCCCCCGGGGTTATGTGGATTTTTCTCTGGGTCTTACAGTTTTTACATGCACGTCAAGAAGCATGCGTTTCGAATATTTGGCTGCAATACATTTCCACATGATAAGCCACTTCGTTGAGCTAGCATTGACGGCCAGGGAGCTTCAGAAAAATAGCTATAACATCTGTGGGCCTTACCTGGTAAAATAAGAATAGTAAGAGTTTAGTTTAAATATTATGGCTAGGACGTAAACAGGATTTATTTACAAACGTTTTGCCGAAGTTTCTACACAAATCTTAATTTTGGAGCTTTCGTGACTGCAGGAATTATTCTTTGGTTTTTTCGGTAAAGTCACGTATAAAAATAAAATTATAAATTAAATAATAGCATCCGTCGTATGCTATTATTAATTTAATATTAATTTATTATCTTATTTTTATACGTGACTTTACCGAAAAAACCAAAGAATAATTCCTGCAGTCACGAAAGCTCCAAAATTAAGATTGAACCACTTCTACGAGGAAGTTCCAAGTTTACCTTTTTCTCTCTCTCTGGGTTTCTTGTTCTCTCTCTCTGCCTGTATATTTAGTGTAATTTTCTCTGTCTACACTCGTTTTGTATCGTTCTTAGGTTCTGCTCTGTCTGTGTGTCTCCGTTCCTCTTTTTTATGTTTTGTCTTTCTTTGGAATTTTCACACGTAAATTCTAACTTGGCAATCTTTGAAATACGTAATCGACCAGGCAATGCGTTAATTGTGTGTTGACCGACTCTCTGTGTCGTTTTACATAACATTTCGATACTTTGCTAGGTTATTTAATTTAGTGTGTTCTGTCTCCCTCTAAGCCTGCTTACCTTACTCCCCTCCCTTCGTACTCATTGACATGTAAATGTTTTCCCTACCCCCTCCCTCTCTCTGCCTCCGCCCCCCTCTGTCTATTTAAGGCCACCCCACAGAGACGATCACCTCTCTCTGTACCTGGGTTGCTCTCTCTATGTATCTTGGTGATATCTGTCTGCTTATATGTCTGTCTATAGTTTTCTGGTTATATTCTATGTCGCTATTTCATTATACCTGATGATGATTGCTTGTGTTGCAATCGAAACGTCGTATGCTATTATTTAATTTATTATTTTATTTTTATACGTGACTTTACCGAAAAAACCAAAGAAGAATTTATACACAAATTTTCACCTCTGTCAGTCCCTGGCCATTATCACTCTTGCCCTGTGAATCCTCACAATTACAAAACCAATGCCCATGCCAGGCTAAAAGTGGCTAAATAAAGCTGGCGATGAACTGTGTTGGTAAAATAATTACATCTTTTACTTGGGCCAAACATGGGAAAAACGTTGCTTTGTTATGTGACCGCCCAAACTTCTGAAGGTCACTCATCTCATTCAGCCACTTGGGAAGTTTTAGCTTATAAACTACACGGCAATTCATTACGTGATATAACACTGGTTATAATCAATGCACCATTCCACTCCCCTGACATTGGCAGGTGGTTGTGCCGGGCGCCACCACGTACCATTGCCGGTGTCCATCATCTCCGAATGCGCGACCCTGGAGTAGCCCCGCACTGGGGGAGGGTGCGCCTCCGAGGTGTGGGTCGTCACATCGGGGGGCGCGGAGCGGCCGTCTGTACAGAGAACCGGCGACGCATTAGCTTACATGCGTGGGGTCGCCACCTCGACGCGCGGGCTTGCACAGGCAGCAAGGTGGGGCAGAGACGAGCACGCGTGAGCTAACGTTTAATCGTCATCCACCAGCGTTCCTCTGGGAGGTGGGCAGGGTAGGGTCTTAAGAGATGTGACTGCTCTTTTTAGGCTCTAAAGACGGTAGCTATGGTTGCACATGTAATGATGTGTGCGAGTATGTCTGATGTGTCGTAAGAGAACAGTCATGGCCTTTATGAGACCAGAGAACGGTTGTAAGGCTGCCACGCAAACCCATGTGGAATGCGAGCCCACTGGCGCCCGCGTGCTCCTTGTCGGATGTACACAGCGCACTGATTCAAGCCACTTTGTTGGTATTGCCCGAGCCACCCCAATGGCAAGAACAAATTAAGTAGGTGACAGGAGGTCGTGGGTTCGAACCCAACCATGTCGTCTGTATATTTGGAGTTTGCATGTTGTCCCCGTGGTTGTGTGGATTTTTCTCCGGATCAACCATTTATTTGCCTCCACATTAAGAAACATGCGTTTTAAAGTATTTAGCTGATAGAAATGTCCACGTGATAAGCCACTTTGTTGGGCTATCATTTATGGCCAGGACACTAAAATAAAAAGTAGTTTAGTTTTATAAAACGAACGGCATGGAACCACTTATTATGAGCAACCACAATAAACAAGCAATGAACTAAGAAAGGAGCAGATGACATGCATCTGTTCGAGGCACGCCACAGCGAGCGTGCCGCGCTGGCGAACTCACCGAGGTGTGTGTGGGCCATGACGTCGGCCAGGGCGCCAGGCCCACCGCGGCGTTCCCGCTCGCCATGGCTGGGCCCAGGCGTGGCCGTGGAGGTGTGGGTCGGGGCAGGCCCCGCCTGGGAGGTGGCGCGTGGCCCCGTGCTGTGGGACGAGGCGGAGGAGGCGGAGGAGGACGTGGTGGAGGTGCCCTGCTGAGGGAGTAGACGCAGCCGGGTCAGCACTCCACACACGGAGGGACGTCCAACATGGTATTATATCATTGAGACTGGCCGAAGAACTTTAGCTGTGTATTCGCTCATTCATTTGGAAATACAGTAAATACACAAGTTTACGTCAGGGATGCGTTCTTGAGAGGTGTGATGAATATCGGAACGACGTAAATCAAAGCAATTTATAGGGTAGGTGGAGGCGGAGGCGACGGATATGACAAAAGATGGGTGTTGTAAGCCACGTCAGTGTGGGGGTTGAGGCGACGCAAATCAGGTCGCGGTATTAATAAAGTGACGACGCATTTGCAAAACGCCATAAAAGGGAGAGACGTAAATCGGGGTATTACTGTATTATTCGGCAAGTATTGCTTTTCAAATAATTTCCACGTGAATAAATTGAGGATATTATTAACCGGCTGTAGCCACAAATATTTCACATTGTGTTAAGCGGTCCATTTTTATTCAGTTAAAAACCCCTACATTCAAAACAAAGCAGTTGGTATTTCCACACTCATTGGACGTTGTTAATCTCAAATTACGACCTTGGAGCTTTGTAAAAAAAAAATCTACATTTCTTTGAGAAGAATTCCAATCTCTTCATAGGATTACCAGTTGCAACCTTCTGATGTTGAGTCAAGTTATCCGACAGTAGCACCACTCGGTTATATTAAAATTCTAATGAGCTTGCATTGTAATTGTAAATACCATTTTTTTGTCAACTCCATAGAAAGCTGCCACATGAAATCAGTCCACGTGTTTACGGTGCATCCATTCATCATTTTGTGCACTCAGTGTTTCCCGAGCGAACACGACAGTTTCATGCCGCATGCCAAATCTATAACCAGGCTTGAGTTTCACAATGCTGCAGACGCGGATTGATTTACCACTGGTTTTATGTAATGATCTGAATCTCCATAGCGTACAGGCCGACAGACACTACTAGAATGTTAACTGGGGAGAAGCTCAAAGAGTAACATGCATAGTGAGTTTCGTTGAATAATGAACTCTGAATAAATATTTTAGCAACAATCACAACAGCAGCCTTCAATGGGAAAGGGCAGATGGCTCACTCATTATACCAGGGGGTCGGCAACCTACGGCTCTGGAGCCACACGCGGCTCTTTAAGGACCGCTTAGTGACATCAATCACATGCTTTGCGGGCTCATGAAATTTAAAGTTTATTACCAAATTCCAAAAAAAATGTCTCTCATTGTGATTTTGGTTTTGGTGAACCCTCCGTTAATTATACTGTGAACCAAAACGTTTCCCCCCGTTTTGTATTTTTGAAGCTACAGCCTTTGCGGGCAGGTCAGAGGTGTGGTGAGAGGTCGGAGTGGCATTTGTGCCACGGTCCCACCTGCATGGCCTGGCTGATCCAGCGCTCCACGTTGAGCGACCCCTGGCCCAGCGGATCCTGGGACCTCCGGCGGAGAGAGTTCTCGTCCTCGGAGGCCGACGACGTGTCTGTGGGGCCCACCACGACCGCACCGCACAACGACAGCGGTGAAGCACAAAACCCAATTCCTGTGCCCGTAAATTCGGACACCATTTTTTTTTTTACCAGCTAAGACCCACTGAGCTATTTTTCAGAAACGGCCTGGCCATAAATTAGAGCTCAAAAAGAAGTGGCTTATCATGCAGAAATGTATAGCAACCAAATACCCTAAATGCACGTTTCTAAATGTGGAGTGAAAAACCGGAGGACCTGGAGAAAAAAACCAAACGACCACAGAGATTTGTTGTTTTTACATCGGGAAAGAAAGGGTTAATTCCAACGGCGTTCAAAACAACGGCGATTACAGTAGAAGGGCCATGTTCGCCTTCCGTATCGCAAGTTCTAAAAAGTTAATTATCATAAACTGCACTCGTGACACCATAGTTCACTCTTTATTCGAAGTCTTGCGACTAAACCGTTGTACTGAATGTAAAATTTCTGAGTTAATTTTGGCACAAAGAACCCCGTAAAATGTTTTAAAAGAGCATAAAACAGCACAAGGAGCATGATTACTTATTCATGACTATTCATGACTAAATGGAAGAGACTGTGGGTCGTTAAAGTTGATGTGTGCATGCATAGTTTGCCAAAAAAACTCCATTCAAATGCAAATTAGGTGAAGAAACTAAATGTTAGATATGTTACACAAATCGTTAATATATTTGATTACAAGAAATTTAAAACAATGTGCCTTAGATGAGTCTCAATGTGAATTTATGAATCAAGTGTTACAATTATTACAAATGTGTTAACCAATAACTTCAATTATCCAAAGATAAACATTCACAACAGGAACCCGAAGGCAGAGATATCCCTCATTACAATGCTGCTGCTGATTGGGAAGCAGTGGCACACAGCGTCATGCACTGCACCTACAAACTGAGCAATCGGGGATATGATTCCTGGCCATGGACAGCATGATTGGAAAGAGGCATCTGAACATGCTTGGGCCTTCCTTGGATACACTCATCCTTAAATAAGTACCTTGGGTTGTTTACATCAACCAAACCTGTTTAAATCGGTGTCAATTAGGGGAGATTTTCTCCAAAGATATTTTACCCAACTCGCCACTCGGTTCACCTGCGTGTGAACACCGGACCTGTGGAGACAAATGCTGGTCGAAGTGGTTTGTGCTGGCCCACACCGTACCCATGTGTGCTGTGCCTGCTTAGAGCTCATTGCTCATGACACTCGCCCACATGGTACGAAAGGGCTAAGCTTGGACTATGACTTGTGTGCATGCAAATAGACACATTTATTTCAAACTCAAGTAGCCTTTGACATGACGTATTGTTGGAAGAGGACAAAAGTGAATCATTATTTAAATAGAAATCTAGGGATAAAGCATGTTCTGGTTTCCACTCTGACACGAGGAGGAGGATTAGTAGTAGTGTCATGAGAGAACTATGCATGAGCGTGAGGGATGATTTAATGCGGATGGCTCCGAACCATGTCTGGAGAAAAGTGCCATGGGAACACAGTGTTTAACGTGCGTCAAAAACATGAGCGTATGCGTAGGTCAGTCGCAAGACCGACAAGCAGAGAATTTTAAGTGACTCATTCCAAGGAGTTTGTGAAATTCCTTGAATTTGCTCACTTGACTTATGAACCTGCATTTACAAAAGCGACATGAAGCAGGAACGTGACTGATGGAAATACCTCACATTAAAAAATTGGGTTTGTTCGCTTAGCCGTACAGTTTGAAAGCCAGTGGACGTGTGCAAAAATTTGGTTCAACTGGGTTAGCCATTTCATTGTAGTTTCATTTCCTCCGAGAGTGAACAACTGGAAGCCCTTGTTACAGCACCGCGCAGTGCTCAGCTGTTGTCTGGCTCATAAAGTATGCGCCTAATCAGTACACTTGGTTGTATTATTTCAGCACTTTCTATACTCAAGCATCCCCAAATCAGAATTTGTTCCACACGCGGGACACAGACAAAATGAAGCAATTTGCATTCAATTCCACACCGCTTCCCCGGCTTTAATTATTGATCAGGGTAATGGGCGTGCTTGGCACACAGCTGGCAGCAGCTGAAACTGATCAAAATCACAGTCGGACACCCGCCAATGCTTCACATTTAAATATCCCAGGCAGTTCACAACCACTGCCGTGCTGCTGTTTAGCATTCCCAGCCAGGGAAATGTAAAGTCATGAATAATATATAAATACAGTACACGGTTCGGTTCCAAATATTCTTGAGCAGCACTGGCTATGGGTCACAAAACACAACATCGACGGACAGCCATGCTGGGCGCAGTTTGCCTGGCAAAGGTCGTAGCCATGCTGAATGGTTGCAACTTACTGCACTCACATGGCAGGCAATTGTGCCGGACAACAACAAACATGAAAGCCGCACACAAAGACACATGGTTGCGTACAGGAAAAATAACCCGCGAGATGGTGAGAAAGATTGGCAATACACCACCCTCTGGTTTTGCAGCAGTTATTTCTGTGACTGACACCATACATATGCAAGTTACTGCAAGGACCGTATCAAAAAATTCACGAAGAATAAAGTGGTGTGTGTGTGTGTGGACTGACAGCTCACGATGGTGATTCAAGTTACAACTCCCACCCGGGATCAGTTCACCAACAAATGTGATGTGCGTCAAGGTGCACGGTTTGTTTTGACATCTCACCACCGTATTATATTCTGGTCATGTTCTCGAGGTTCCTAAGTTACCGGACGTGTCTTTGTTTGACCAGTGTGGGGAGTGGTAGTGCAGTGGTTAGCATGCATGCTCACGGCCAACATATTTGACAAATATCTGAGCCTGGCATGCCCCCCCCCCCCCCCCCAAGGTCAACTCACCCTTAAATGAGTGTCTAATCTGGCGTGTAAACATAAAGAGTTAGGAGAAAATGGTGGCCGGGTGTGGTCCGAGACACCCCACGCACTCGTGTGCCGTGTTGGCCTTCATAGGCGCTCGCTAACAGCACTTGCCCCAACAGCATGTTAAATCTATTGGGATACTGTCATTGAACAATTATATTTTTTGCAGTTATCCTGGAGATCCTCACTGAGTCTCAATATTCTCTTTCAGGTCCTCCAAATGGATTTTTGGCATATTCCGTCGTAATGAGTGGGAGCATGTTTTTTTATATGCACATATTAACATTTCATTACACATCATACACTCTACTTTAGTCTACATTACATGCGTTCTCTAGTTACAGCTCGTGCCTTGACATCCTATGGCGATAACTGGAGGAGGAAAAACACCCACAATGGATCATACTTCTGAAAGTCATCATAAATAGAGAATGTGTTTGCATCACTAGGCCAGAGAAATTGAACGAAACATCCCGCTAAGCTGCCCACAGTAGCTACAGAATCCTCCCTGTTTATAGCCCCCATAGACACAAAGGCTCTCTGCAGATCACTGATAACAGTAATCTTGGCTCCATGACTTATCCTGACAAATGCATAAAGGGCAGTGTGTAGTTCTTATTGGAAATGTAAATCAGGCTCCTCTGACAGCACAAAGCACGGAGCAAAGACTGAACAAAGCTTTCATGTAATAGTTTAATTCATATGTTAATTTTGAATTGGTTTCAATTATCATCTTTCTCTCTGTTACCACTTTAGCAACATGTGCAACGTTAGAAAACATATTTCTGGACGTGTTAAAATGGCACTAACGTTCCCAAAACAATGCACTGGAACACGACTTAAAATGGATATGGACCACACAGCGTTCAACTCAAACATTTCACTAAAACTAGGACGGATTTAAATTGTGCCATCTCTGCCATAAAACGGGGCCCAGGATGAAGGGCTCCCCCTTAACACCCGAAGCGTTGCACCGATACGTAGGGTGCAAAATAAGTTCAGCATACATAGATACTAAAAACTAAACTATTTTTATTTTACCAGGTAAGGCCCATTATGCTGTTTAGCTCTTTTGCAGAAGCAACTTGGCCACAGATGATCGCTTTACAAAAGTGGCTTATCAAGTGGAAATTTATAGCAGCCAAATACTCTAAACCAATGTTGATTCGAAATCTGGAGGGAAAACTGGAGGACGCGGAAAAAAATCCACGCAACCACGAGGAGAACATGCAAACTACAAATATACAGGTGCCAGGGTCAGGATCGAACCAACGGCCTCCTACATACCAGGCGAGGCAGTTAACGCCACTCTACAAATAAAGGCTCGACAGACCAACGAGTGGCCGGTGTTCTGCCGATCGCCAGCGTACCTGGCGGCGTGTAGGCGTCTACAGCGGCTTGCACGGCAAACGAGCGGCGCTTGGAAGGCATGGGCATGGGCATCTTCTTCTCCTTGTGCTTGGCAAGCGCGGCTTGAACGGCTTCTGTGTGAACGTCTGCAAAAAACAAAGACAAAGATCCCCCGTCTACCCTTAACAGACTGTCGGGGCAAATGCTGTTAGCGAGCACCTAAGAAGGCGGGGCAGGGCACGCGAGCGGGTAGGTGGCCAGCACCACACCCCGGCTGCTTTTGTCTCCCTCGTGACCATGTTTACACATCGCACCAGGTACTTATTTGAGGCCGAGTCGACCTAGGGGAGGCCTAGGACTGGTTCAAATACTCATCACTGGTGTTGGCCGTGAGCGGGAATGGAACCCGGGTCGCCCGGTTCGTAGCGCAGCGAGTTGACCGCTACACTACCGCTCTCCACATGACCGTACGGACACGCGTACGCACACATACACGGCGGCATGCGGCACCGTGACGTGCAATAGAATTGTCCGCACGACGATAGGGTCATTCGCACAGCATGCTGGGGTAGCCGGTGTGTGCTTCTAACTTAGGGTCATGAAGAGATCATAGGAGATACACATGTGATGATGGGGCAGTACATGATGTAGGTTGATGACATCTCTTTGTAAAGTTTTCCCATCACATGCACGGGTTTTCCCATTCATGATCATGGGGTTTCTCCAAGCACTCTGGTTACATCCCTTTCCCCACACAGCAACAACAAAAAAACACAAACCAATGTGGGCCAAACATTGTTTCGCAGAAAGTGTATCTTACAGTCGGTTAGGATTATTTCGTACAAATGTTCACAAGTATCCCCGTCGTGGATCGGTGAACAGCTACAAAAGCAACTCGCTCCGATGATTAAGTCGTTTAACACAGATGTTTAAATAAATTATTCTCAGCATTGCATTTGGCCGAAAAAGCTGCTGAAATCCGTGAGAACGGGAGACGTGAATGGGGGTAGGAGTGGAGGCTGTGCAGGGGCTTTGTGCGACAGCAAGACTTGGCTCCAGGCCCCGGGGACTCGGCAAACGCTTCTGTAAGCCAACAGGAATGAAAATGGAAATATTCTTTTAACCTTCCACGGAATGAAATAGAAAGGAGTTGCAATGATGGATGTCTGTCTGCATCTCAGAGAATGTTTTTTTAACAAAGGACAAATGGATTTCAAATACTTATGCACTTTTTGGAACTCGCGGCTAAACCGATGCAGACAGGGCATGTTTAAGCCAGTTGCCTGCGGTGGAGAACATGACATCATCCGAATTTTTTTCCACCGGTCTCTTAATCCTTACGTTGCAATCTTGTCACCACAATGCGGGGGAAAAGTGAAACTGTTCCAGGTCTCCCAATGCTGTATATCCAAGGGCTGTCACCAAGTCATCAACGCCTAAGGGAGTTAAATGGCAAATGGAATCAGCTTTTGATGACTGTGCCAAAAGAGGAGCCAACTCTACACTGTTTTAGCCAAAAGCGAAGGCCGATTTGCACAATGCCTTAAAAGCCGTTAATTAAAAAATTGAAGCTCACCTGCATTAATGTCTGGAAACTGCAATGGTAAAGCAATGACCCACATCGAATCGTATTTAATGCAGCCTCTGTCTGGTAAGCAAAGCACTCCCAGTTTGGAGTCCATCCAATTTTTCCCTGCAATTCCGATGAGCACGGTTGGCTACGTACAGTGCGAAATAAGTTCTACGGACACACGTACAGTCGGCAGCCATTCCACATAGAACAAATAACCAAGGCAATAACAACCACTAATCTGACTCAATCATCCAATAACAAATTTAACCCAAGGTATTAAATAAAATAAAAAAGCTCAATGGATTTGCCGAGTCAGCCTGCTACACTGGGGCCTGACCCTTATTTAGTGAGTATTCAGAAAAATTAAAACCTCTATAATCGGCTTAGTCCATGTTATTTATTATTTAACGTGTTTTGACAGTAACAGAAAGCAGCAGTGGGCCGCCGTTGCGGCCTGTGCACCGAAGACAGCCTTTCACAAATTAAGCCTCAGAATTCACACGGCGCAATTTGTGGAGACAAGATGCGTGCATGCGGCACGGGCAGAAACACTGGCGGTGCGCATTGAGCCTTCTTCCACTTCTCCAAACCTTAGCCACCAATGAATACATTCTCAGCTATATTTAATCACTGTGTTTAATCACTGTGGTGTCATGCATTCTCCAAGTGACTGCATGACCAGATGCACTCTAGGAGCACTCTCCGAGTGCATCTGATACGAGGGAGACGACATTAATTCCGATGTGGGCACACAGTCAGCGTGTGTATTATCCTGGAATGTGCTAACTGGAAAAGCCTGCTGAGTGTTTTATAAAAAGCGCTTTGGTCGCGAACGACTTTCCAGAGGAACATTGCAAACTTTGCTTCATTTATAATCTTTGAAATTAACTTGTCACGGGAGGCGGCCGATCGTACTCTGTATATGTGCGAGCAAACCAGAGCTTGGATCCACTGATTTATTTACATCCCGATACCAGGGGAAAGGGCAAGTGAACTACAGCATACGGAGTCACCAGGAACTTAAATCGTGTGACGTTCAAGTGCCTACATATTTCGCCTGTCAGTTGAGCTATTAGCCAGGCCTTGCACGTTGACACCGATGCCTACAGCATCGCGTAGACTACAGACTTTTGAGGGCTTTCGGGAATGTCAACTTACCGCTTGACATGAGTAATGGTGGCAATAGCGTGTCTCTACACGTTTAGCCGTTTTCATACTTTAAATGATACGGCAACTGTTATTGTGCAGGTGACACCTGTAAATGCCTATAAATGTGACCACATGGTTCAAGAGGCTAATGCTGAGCCAGCACTGTTGAAATCCTCCTATTTGAAATTGTAAACTAAAACTAAACTGTGTTTTCTTTTATTTTGCCAGGTAAGGCCCACTGAAATAGCAAGCTCTTTTTTAGGAGCGACCTGGCCACATGATAGCACAATGAAGTGGGTTTTCATTGTGAAAATGTACAGCAGCCAAATACTCTGAACGCATGTTGATTCTAAATGGAGTGAAAAAATCGGAGGACCCAGAGAAAAATCCATGCGACCACGGGGAGAGACACTTAAACTCCAAATATACAGCAGGCGTCAGGGTCGAACCCACAACCTCCAGTATATCAGGCGAGGTCGTTAACATCTTGCCACCGAGGCACCCCTCAGTTCGATACAATTATATTTTGATGGTCCCTGCCGAGTCATCTGTGACTGAACGAAAATCAACACAAGTGAAACTTTGGCTTCCAAATAAAATGTCTATGAGCTTATGACAAATCTTTATAAAAAGCTATATAGGAATGAATTCCATCTGTCTTTTGGAAAAGAAGGATCCAGTTGGGGATGCACAAGAATGGGTGTTGTGGTATAATCTTCTGGGAATGTTCCTTGGCAAAGATCGTTATCCACTGTCAGGATGTAGTGACTGCAATGGAAGCATTTCTTCATAATTTCGCTCGATGCAAAATCCTCAACTGGAACATTGGGCGGAAGATGGTGGGCCTTCTCATGGCTCACCTGTTCGTTGTTTCACGTTACCTTAAACACAACACTATCATCTAGGCGAAATGGACCTCGTTAATTTGAAACCAGATTTGGTCTGTAGAACTAATTGCCAAACACTGGTATGGAGCTCTAAAACATATTGCCATATGTAAGAACAGAATTGGAATGCAGTCGGCATTAAATAAAACCTACGCGGTCCAAATAGTCCAAGTTGTTGGTGTAGGAATTTGATACTTGAGTGAAATTACAGAATTGTGTACGTGCACGTTTACATATGGACACCCAATTTTAATTGCCGGGGTCTTTGGTGCGCAATGTTTGTTTGTGCTCGGAAGATCACAGCAACGGGCCTCTCTCGTGGCCGTGCATTCATCTCAGCACGACTGCCGGGAGTAGAGCCCTCCAATCGAGTCGAGAGCGAACATCACGGGCTCTGAAGCAGCATATGCGCAGCCGGGAATACCTCCGACAGCATCACACAACATCACAAGGCCCTCTGACTTATGTTAAACAACAACAGTCACAATCTAAAATCAACATGCATCATCAATGCATGAAATTTCATTAACATTCCAGGCAGACTGTGTTTTTAATAATATTTACTTACAGCCAGAAGACAAAAAAAAGTTTTCTCCTTCGAATAAAATGTTTACTTTTTAAAGTGAATCCAAATTTTAATAACTGAGGGTGGTGGGTTTCTTCATCTATGTGCAATGAAGACCACAGCCCAAAATGTTCCCTATTACAATGTCTCCCTTTAATGCGGTGTTAGTGCAGAGCGTGATGAGGTTATACGTTTGGGGTGTGAACGTACGGTTGTGTTCAATGCGTGCGTCAGCGCGATACAGTTCAGCCAACTCAAGCTACGAAGCGAAACACAGCCGGGATGATCGGGCTGAGTGGGCACAGGGAGGAGGGTATCGATGCCTGCACGGTGCCACTGTGCCACGTCAGCTGCCCTTTTGTCCCTCAATAAACACCAAACGTTGAATACAGTTTAAAAAAAAACTTGATTACATTCTCTTCAATATTCTCACCGTAATCATTACAAGAATTTAAAAGAAGAGAGCACCCATGTATTGTAACATGTTCTAAGAGCGAGGAGGGGAGGGTCTGAACTTGGCGTCGCAAGCTGTGCATGGGACTAAAAGGCGCCGCTCCTTTTGTGCTGTAACCGTGCATGCGCAGTGCTCATTACTCATGGAAGTGGGACAGCTGGCACTCCGCGCAAAACAATGGGACCGGCCGGCCTGCGGGTCTCTCCCCAAGGACACACACCTAACCGCGCCTCCTCGGTCACATTGGAATTCATCAGGATGGGCCTTAAACAGGCAGCAGCAAGCCAGATGACAACTACTCTAAAGGGACCTTGTGCAAATCTGTGTGGTGGACTACACCCAAATCATATAAACGACGCATAAGCGAAGAACTCATTATATTTAGCATCTTCTGGTAATACGCGTGAAAGTCTAACACTTACAGAATGCTCCAATTAAATTATTTTTTACAAGTGATGGAATGTAACACTTTCTTCTTTTGCAGGGTAGTTGCAATGAGCTGCTCGCTGAGGGGAGGGATTCTACCGTTGATTGTATAGAAACGTTACTCTTGTTGTCGGGTTGGTGCAAGTGGAGATGATTGATGATTCGGGGCCAAGCAGCTCAGCCTAGTAGATGTGGCCACGCGCTTGATGATGTCAGCACAATCCACAATCAACCCCCACCTGCAGAGCGCTGGATTATTGCACATGCACTACCAAGTCTGGCTTTCGAATGATGACATCGCCGAGTCTTTAACAACCACTTCACAGCAAACGGTGACGTAATTCCGTAGAATTTACTGGGTGGCCGGCGGATTTCAAACTGTCGACGCCGTGTGAACTGGTTCAGTGTTGACGACTAGGCCACAAGCACACACGTGGTGGGCGATCAATCGTGCAGCTCAACCTCCTTCCTTACACTCCATGACCAAGACAAACCCAGAGAAACAAGGCTGCGTGGTAATTGGGGTACACAAAGACATATGTTTACAGCTGGGTTTAAAATGTTTGGTAAACAGACACTGTTGACCCCAGACTGCCAAATTGGGAGCTCATTGACAAAGTATACACTTAAGTCAATGCTAAAAGACAGCTAAATAATTGAGTCATTTTACAGGTTAAGGTGATTGATTTAGAGCCATTTTCCTCTTGGGTATTTTATAGGATCAAAAAGTCTACTGGTTGAAATAATAATAAACGTTAGAAATAGTAAAACTATTACCAAGGCTCTTTTTGCATATGCACAAATGCGACCTTTTCAAATGCCCTACATGAAATAAAAAAGACCTCGTGTTTCTGAAATCGTAAGTGATGTATTAGTGTGCCTGTCTTGACAGGAATGAATTTAACAATGCTGAGTTTGGTAAGAGTGCCTACATTACACTTGCTATCCCTTCCACAGGGCCATGTTACGGCACCGGCACCTATATTTATTTATTCACAGATATGTTTAATTTGCCGAGGCTTGGCGGCTCTGACTCAGCGTCTCACACGGCTCAGCTCAGCCTTGAGCCACTTGAGCGGCTCAGCCATGGCCTGGCTCAGGCTCGTCTCACGGGAATCCTGAGTGTGGCTGGGACTAATGCTCGGACCCAAAGCATGATCGAGCGTGGGCCAGGCATGGCCCTGAGGCGATCCCCCGGCAACTGTCAACTATTTAAACAGTTTTTATTTTACCAGCTAAGGCCCACGGACCTACGTAGCTCTTTTTTAGAAGCGACCTGGCCATCACAAATCATAGCTCAACGAAGCGGATTATCATCACGTGGAAATGTATAGCAGCCAAATACTCTTGAGCCACGGAGAAAACATGCACGACGTTTCACCAGCCTTAAACAGGCTGGTGAAACGTCGTGCATGGGGGGTGAGGTGGCACGTGCCCCCCCCCACCCCCCCCCCCCCCCATGATCTGATTGAAATCTCTAATTTTGATCGGATTATTGGGGTTTATTAGTAATAAATCGGCATTTTGCGACCCCCACTGCCACTGTGTAGCATATTAGTACGTGCCAGGGATAGGACGTAATTGGCAATAAGTAACGGCCAAGCAGTTATAAGTGACTCACAGAACTGTGCGCAGTTGCGTATACAGTACACGAGCGCGATGCCGATCACACAACGCGGTTCGAATTCGACCCCGTCGATCAATGGCTGCGCCATCGCCGCACACGCGTCGAATAAAAAGCAAAGGACAAGTCCTTACTTACTAACAACTCCTCTATCATTTTTCATTGCTGGAGGGGTTCGCCCCCCCTACCTGAAAATCCTGGCTCCGCAATTGATTACAACCGGCATCATCAGGCGGCAGCCAGATTTGTGGAGAAATCCTCCTGTTTCGTTTTTTAAATAGACTCCAAATATATAGAGCATCAGGGTCAGGATCGAACCCACAACCTTCTGCATACCAGGTGAGGTCGTTAAAATCTCCCCACCATGGCGCCCTGCGATCCAGCCATGCCATTGTGCGTTCGCTCTTGTGTTTAAACCGACAATCAAAGGAACAGGAAATAGAGTCAAAGTGTGCGTCCCAAGCTTATGGACAGGACAAGTCTGTCCATGAAACAATCGATTTTAACTTTCCACGTAGCTGTAATTGTTTTATCGACCATAGCGGAATGATAGTCTGAGTTGGCCTGAAGAAGGATTTGAGCTCATGCACTTTTGATTGCGAGTCTGATGCCCTGGTGCAACTTGGCTACTGGCCGGATAAGACATTTTTATTAACCAGAAATAAACACAGTTTGTACCGGTAATTAGATCCCCTTATGTCAGCAGTTATCATGATCACTGTAATAAGCCCTGATTACACTGCTAAGCAATGTGAAATACAAAAGGATTTCCATTATGTTTACAAGGAAGATTTGCCAAGATCTTCCAATTGAAAATACAATTCATAACACTCAACGGCATCAGAAATTTAAGGAAAATTATCCATTTTTTTTACAAATTATTACTGTTAGGGTTTTTTAATGAAGGTAGATGAATTTAACCATCCATGTATATAATCATTATTCAGAAAGCCTCACCAAGCCTTAAGACTCTTTTTTCAGGAGGGCCCTGCTTAGTTTTCTGCTGCAATGTGTCATCCGGACTTGAGTAATGTGCAATAGGATCTTTGGGTAATACCAGTTCCATTGTATGTTTTTTTTAGCTTTCGGAGGAAATTGGAGAACACAGAGGAAACCCATGCAGAAGAGGGGAAAAAAACATACAAACTCCACACCAAAAGGCACCCAATTCAGGAATATGGAGCACAACTGTCACCACCGCACCGCCACCCCGCCATGAAAGACAATCTCGATTAACAGAATTTGGCAAAAGTAGGCGAGATATCTAGTGGGGGGGGGGGTCACCATGCAATTTCCTTTGCGGCAAATTAAGATTCCTCCACTTTAACATGAGCATTTGTAACCCTCGAACGTCAATGACAATCACATGGCAACACACTGTTAAGACGAAAACCACTCGCACTCTGTTCAGAAACATAGGCTCAGCATCACCTTTCAAAATGCATTGCGTCGAGCACGATGCCGAGCTGAAGCATTCGCACAAGTACAGGCCGCGCGCGCCGCATAACGCAGAGCGCACTGCGCATAACGCATTCGCCGCCAAGGTTTTTAACGGCTTGTACTCTTAAGCAGCAGACTGGAACAAAGCACCGTGCGCGGACGCCGTGTGAGGTGCGAGGGAGCGAGCGGCGTGTGTGCAGCGAGCCTACCCGAGCGATATCTCTCATCACGGGAGCCCGCGTCCCTCCGGCGATTGTGCTTGGAACCCGATGGGGCAGGGTCGGCCTGCGTCCGAGCCTCTGTCTGCAGTGAGGGGTCTACCCCTGTGGGGGGGGGAGGCAAAGGGGATAGGGACAGAGGGGATAAGGGGATGGACAGAGGGGGTGAAGGTAGAGGTGAGGAGACAGATTAAACTATTGGAGTGCCACGGTGCCTGGTATACAGGAGGTCGTAGGTTTGAACCCAAACCTTACACCTGCTGTGTATTTGGAGTTTGCATGTCTCTCTCCCCGTGGTCGCGAGGGTTTTTCTCCGGGTCCTCAGATTTTTCCCTCCACATTTAGAAACACGTGTTTAGAGTATTTGACTACAACACATTTACACGTGATAGGCCACTTCATTGAGCTATCATTTGTGGCCATGTCACTTCTGAAGAAGAGCTATATAGCTCAGTGGGGTTTACTCAGTGAGGAAAGCCTCACCGAGTCTCAATACTTTTTCAGGATCCAGCTAACAAAAAAATATTACCAAAGGGGGCCAAGTATCCATGTGTAATCCCAATTGAGTAAATTGCAAGTATTTTTTTTTTTACATTGGATGGTTGGTCAACACCAGTTTACGTTGGTATAAAGATTTGTTTTACTATGGGAAGAAACCAGAGCACCCGGAGGAAACCCAAGTAGAACAGGGGCAGAACAAACTCCAAGCAGAAAGGCACCCGAGTTGGGAATCGAACCCAGACCCTTCTTGCTGTGAGGCATGAGCGTGACGACCCCCACCCTAATGCCAAATTTGACGTACAATTTAACTTGGATTTGCAAGAAAGGCTACACTTCAATTACATGAAGCGTGGTAATGCATCTTCAAGGCCAGTCACATCTTCTTCAACAGAAACACATGGAGCTAAATACGACAAAACGACTGTATTCGACAGGATGCCTCCATTGTTCAGTCAACAAGTCCGCAATGACATCATTGCTATGAAGACAAGATCATTTAAATTCACAATGCTTCCTCCCATTGCTGATGAGACACAAACAATTTGCAAAACCTATAATGTATCTCGTTTTGAGTTACCACTGTCTTCAAAAATGTTATCAGCAAATAATGTTTGATTTGCAAATTATCTGGGAACAAAATCATATCTGTTAGTAATAAATGAAAATGGAGATAATCGACATATACACCTTTTAATACCCATGAGATGCTTCAATTATTTGTACATGAACTGACAAATGTATATATATATATATATTTTGGACTACTAATCGTAGCCGGTATATGAACACGATAAGCAAAATAAACCTTCACAACTGTTCCCAATGGATACTTACGTTTTTTGTAGTCCATGTGGTTCAAAAGTACACTCATAATCCGTGGTAGCCAGTGGTCTTAGCGGTCACAAGATAATCAGTCGCCCTGCTATAGCCGACCCTTGGCCGCTGAAATGCAGCAACTACTCGACTGATCCCCACCGCCCCCCTCCCTTGGATCGGCCTCCCACACCTCCTCAATAACCCGTCCGGCAAGCCGCCCCAGGGCAGCCGCGTCCGCCCAGGCGCTCCTGAAAGCAAAGGTGCGCCGCAACTCCCCGGTTCAACTTGTGGGCCGCCCTAGCGCATTCTGCTGTGGGACACAGAAGCAGCTGGTGCCAGCCTGGGCTGAGAAGCTACCAGATGGAGGGCACGTCTGTCTGTGGTTTGTACTCGCTGGGGAAGTGCGTCGCGCGCTCGCTGGCTGTCTCGCTCGCCGCACCGCCCAATGTTCCCCGCGCCTCTGCGTCAGCTGCTGTTGCTGCTGTTGGTGGTGCATCCCATGCACTGCGGCTTCCTGCCCGCCCGCCTGCCCGGACACAGGGCAGTGGTGCACTCACTGAGCACTGCAAACAAAGCAAATCCTGTTTGTAAAGGGGGCCCATTCCATTGGCTCGCCACCGGACACTAACGCTACCGTGAATACACTGGCTTTCTGGCAAGCTGTGTGCTGGACCACTGATTGGCACACTGCCACACCAAGCTTTTGTTTAAAAAATAGCTATGTTAATTACAGCCAGGAACCATAGACTTTTGAATGATATCAACTTCAAAGGGATTAAAGCAGATTTATAAGCCGATTGAATTGGTCTTCACACAACCACATAAAAACGATCTCACAGTGTAGTGTTGGTTTATAATGAACTGTTCAAAATAACATAAAAATTGGATAATGCCAGTAAACAGTAGCCTAAATGTGCCTTACATAATCCAATTAAGTTTCTGGCGCATTGTGACGAAACAATGTTTGAACCGGACCTGCAACACACCGGACACAACCAGTAAAGCTTGAATGAGCTAATTAGGACACCGTGTGAAAGCCAGCCAACAAGTAATGTGAGAATTCTAGACCAGTAAACATGATACTAACCTGGAAAAACATTGAAATAAATATTGTTGTAAGCATTAACACATCGCTGGAAGCAATATCCAGAAAAATATATTATAGATGATATGTCAGCTGTAAGCTGTCATGCCAAACTATGAAGTTTTGCTTCTGTCCATACAGCGGAGCGGGAATGTTGGAACCCATTCATAGTACTCGCATGTGGCTTGTGCTGCTCTCAAGAGAGCAGTCATCTACAAACAGCACTGACGTTTTATAAAAACTACATTACTGTATGGGGATCTGCATGTGGGTGGCAATCTAGGGTTGAAAACATGTTCCACCCAGTGGAAAATTGCAAGGGCCTTGCAGTAAATCTATATTGAAAACGAATTTCTTTAAAACCGTTTTTTTTGCGTTCAGTTTGTTGTCCTTTCCCGCACCTCCGATTTGCGCGGTTGCTGCATCACAGATGCCCCATTTGTTAATTTTACAGAATCTTAACACAAGCAGCTAGTTGGAAGTTAGACACAATGTTAATCCAAATTGCAATGCAGATGCAATACGCAAAAGGGGGCAAAGGTGGCCTGGGCGGGCAGGCAAACGAGAGGACAATGAAGCAAGACGTTTGGGACAGCAGCTACACGAATTTGATGGCACGGTTAAAATGCAGGCATTTAGCCAGCAGCAGATAGAGACTGGCCGCTGATTGTTTAGAACATTTGCAGGCAATGGTGTTTGGCATTCACAATGTATCTGTTCATTATAAAGGACATCTCTGTTCGGAACTTTCACATCAATTCTGCACGACAATTAATTCGTGTCAGCAGAAAGCAAGGCAGCGTGAGTATTGTTGGGAACATTTTGCAGCACACCAGCGGGTGCAATCACATCTTATTTTAAATGCACTTTGTGTGTCCTTTGAGCATAAGATGTACTTTGATGCCCCGTCTGCAGTGACATGACTACATTTATGCCCGTCCTGCTGGGTTAACCTTCAGCATCCTCTTCCTGGCCCGCAGCAGCAACAGCATGATCAAGGAGTGAGAGCTTCAAATGGCTGTGGCGTACGCTAAGAAACCGTCCCTTAAACACCAACAATTCTGGATGCATGACAGCTAATATTTCAATTAGAGCCGTAAAAGTCCTCATTTTGGGAGACGTACGCACCGGCTAAACAGTCTTAATGCATGTTAGACACAATTTTAAATAGAGAATTAAATATCAGACGGGAACAGTTATTACACCCTGACTGAGCCGAATGCATGGCTTGTGATGTAATATTCATCACAAGCATTTGTGTATTTTGGCCAAAATCCACAGGTAGTCAACCACGCCAGTGTGTTTTATTCGAGACAGCTATGCTCTGTGGAATATTGTGCCAGTCAACTACACGACTTAGTCTTCATCTATAATGTAAAGACCAAATAACACAATCTTTCAAATCTGGGGATATAAACTACTGAAGGTGTTTAACATTAGACAGTTTGCAAGTTATACTTCAGTGCTAGCAAATGCCAATAAGTATGTAATTGATTATAAACTCAGATCACAGTGTTCTGAATACTGCTATCAGTATGCAATTAGAATGGAAAGGTTTACCTCCATCTATGCAGTAGTAGATGCATTCCAAAATGGGGCATACAAATGCGAAACCGCACGAGGCAGCTGTCTGCCGAGTAGCACGCACCATGCATAGCAACATGCAGTGTGAATTCAAACCACATACTGCACAGAGCCATTTTTGAGTAGACAAAGGTAAGTCGCATATACAACGCGAAATCGCACAAACCAAATCCGCGTAGAGCGAGGGAATCATGTAATTGCATTTGAGCTGTTCACGTTGCCAATTGGTGGACGATGCACTGTTGTATTTAATCTTACTTTGTCTCACAGTGTGCAGAAAGATTTACTGCAGTCGATCTACCCTTTGTGGAAAAACACCAACTCGTGCCATGCCTTGTGTTTCTCCAACTGATCTCGCCGGGCTCACAATAAAACATCGGAGTGTTTCTATGGGCTGCGCCTTCCAGGGCTGCTATCCCCGCGGCTCACAAGTACCGTGGACACACAACGCCTGTCTCAACATTAAATTACTCTCCACACAGACAGACACGCGTTCCAGAGCGGCCCTACCCTGCCATCAATCTCAGCCCGGTGTACTTTTCAGTCTGCCGCCTTCCGAGTGAAGCCGATACACGTTTGTGCAAATGACAATGATGAACCATTCCCAGTGAAACACAATATCTAATTTTATTGTGGCAGAGTGGTGGCAGTGGTAGTGCCTGTCCTCACAGCAAGGACCTGGGTTCGATACCCGACTGGGGCACCTTTCTGCGTGTAGTTCATGTTCTCTCCCACTGTTCTGCATGGGTGTCGTCTGGGTTCTCCAGTTTCCTGCTATAGTTATACAAGACATAGAATGTAAGTTGTCTTGGCCCAAAGGTCCTGATGCTGAAAGAATTACCTGCACATTACTCAATTGGGATGACACAGCAACGACACCCACGCGGCTATAACCAGAAAAGTCATGGGAGACTTTTCTGGTTAAACTAGTGTAAATACAATAAATATACATGTAGGTGAACAGTGTACAAATAAAATGGACGTTACATTAACGTTTCAGATCGGTCGGTACACTTAAAAAGTCAATAAAAACCAAATGAACATTTTGCCTCTAGGCTCTTCAAATATTTGCTAGTTAATCAACTACTATGTCACGAAGAAGCTCATGTAGGCCAGCTGCTCAACGATTGGCCTGAGGTGTGGGAAACGGAGCCTGTCAGGGTTTCCTTGAAACTCAAATCGTGGCATTTCAGTGCTCTCACGATGGAGTGAGAGTATTTCAAGTGACTTAGGGCACCAGCCCTAGAAGGGACGATAAAGTGAGTACCGCCGTATTTGTGGGGAAATCAACAGTGGTTGTCCTGTAGGTGGACTCGGCCACCGCTATGAGGATGTGGAATTTCCACCACTGGCTCTGCAGGGCTGTATAAACGGGGGAAGAGCGTCAATGCCTCATTGCGCGTGGTAGCAGGAGAGCACTTCACGACTCAGCCAGGCGTCGTAGGTGACCACGATTACAATTACTACATTGATCATGCGTGATGCAACGTTCAAAAGTGTGCTACGTTGTTGAATGAAGTACTGAAATCACATTCAAGGGAGAATTCGCTTGGTACGACCCCCCGTAGAACTCGGATTCGTTATAGGGCTTTTTTCCCGGAGATATGCTTTACTAGAAAAGACCTAAGAAAATAAAAAAAAATCTACAAAGTCTTTGCGAGTGAGAACACGCAGCAGTGCTGGCCGAGGAAACGTACCCGCCCCCCCCATCATTCGCTCAGCCAATGAGATACGACGAACGCTCTCCGCCAACCACATCCCACCGCCTGTGATTCGTTTAGCCAGGTGGGAACTCGAGAAGACGAAGATATTTCTAGATTTGAAGTTTTCGTGACTGCAAGGATAGTCTCAGGCTCCACCTAAAATAAACCATCTTTATTATTATTATTAGCGCCATTACTGATTCCCCAAAGAAGCCCGCATATTGCTCATACGAAGAAATAACGCTGTCAGGAACGCATTCCCATATATGCAATGGAATAATGACCCATCTTCAGCGCTGATTCTAATATTGCTCACTACTCCAGGAACGCATCTTGAGCGCTAAGCGAGGTCTGCCTGTATAAAAAGTGCATGTAGATATCGAATCAAGCTATTTACTAAGGAATAAATACAAGGTATTGATATCAGGGTAAAATGAAGATACCCAAGGTGGGTGAACGTTTAGTGAACGCGGCACCTGCTGCTGTTCGCGAGCGTGACGTCACTATCACTAAATATTAATTTTATTACTCTGCTTGTTAACCCAGGAAAGCCTCACGTGAGTCCCAATAGATTTTTTTTCTCGGTAGGGCCCTGCCAAGTTTTCAAAACAGGGGTTGATGTTGTTGCTGTGTAATCCCATTTGAGTAATTTACAGGTAATCTTTCAACACTTTGATATTTTTTTGACCAATGCCACGTTACCACGTGTATTGTTATAGCGAATATGAAGTCATGCCCTAAGAAACTGTCAATGTGACCCACGCTCAAAAAATATTTTATATCCCTGTTCTACATCATGATTCAGCATTTCCAAAGCTAAAGAAAAAACTGATAGATTGAAATATTATAGTCTATTAATGTGTATATGTGCGTGTGTGCGGTAGCCTAGCGGTTAGCGTGCTGCGTGATGAACCTGGTGAGCCGAGTTCGATTCCCGCTCACAGGCAACAACAGTGATGATTATCTGAACTGGTCCTGGGCCTCCCCTTGATCAACTTAGGCCTACACGGGGGATCTTTGTCTTTGTAAAGTTCTTAAATCAACGTGCTCAAAGTGCTTTCCTGGAAGAAAAAAAAACTTTCCCAGGAATAAAAAAAACCGGAGGCCATATGTTTGAAGCCGTAAAAGACTACGTGTAATTCTTATGACAACCATTAGGTTGTGTTTAAAAACAAAGAACGAAGGAAAAATCACCCGGCTATTAAAATTTTCCAGCCTCAATCCATGCCACGTGTAAAAGCAGACAGATTAACCTCTATTTTTCTTTCGCATAAAAACATACACGAGGAAATTACGAGGTCACAATCAGACTTCATGCCCAAAAGCTCAGCATTATCATCAGAAGAAGCAGCCATGATCTATCCACTGCAGGGTGAAGGCCTCCCCATATAGCATTGGCAACCCCCCCCCCCCCCATGATGTTTGTGAGGCTATAATCAATCTCACCTCTCTGCACATGGGCTAATCTCATTGCTCCTACTCAACGATCATCGTATTCTGGGATGCGTTCCCTCGCTTCGCTGCTATGAGTTGAAGAAAGTCTAAAAAAAACTCACTGACAGAGTTTTAGCAGCCTGGCGAGAGATATGTATTATGTATGTTGAACTTTTTTCGCACCATAGGCAGCTAACCACGCTCATCAGAGGTGCGGGGGGAAGGACAACAAACTAAACACGAGAAAATATTACTCTTTCAAAGGCTATTTTGGGTGGCAGGATGGCGCAGCGTTAACACTTGTGCCTCAAGAAAAAATACCTGGGTTCAACTCCTGTGCCTTTTTTGCGTAAAGTGTGTTTGTTTTCACTCTGTTCTGTATGGGTTTTTTGATTTCCTTCCATTGGCAGATAAAAATAACACACAATGACCCCGGTATTTGGCCAAACATCCGAAAGACAAAATTACATCCAATGTACTCATTAGGAATTACACTTAAAAACACCCCCCCCCACCCCCCATCCGCAACAAATCTGTCAGGATCCTCCTGGCTGGTCATGGGTAAACAAGTAAAATAATAATTTTAAAAAAACGAGAAATAAGATGCCGCAGATGAGATGAGGGAGGAGGGGGGGATCTAGAAATGACGCCTAGAGGGTGAAGTATTTATTTGTACAATGATTTTGCTCCAGAAATGACTTCTGGGACAGCTACCATAGACGGAAGGTGAAGGGAGCCTCTGAGCTTACAGAGAGAGGCGAGGGAGGGGGGCGAAGGGCATAGAGAAGTAGTAACTAGAATGTTTTATCTCATTCCTTTAATCTTATCAGTACACAGGAGATAAATTCCTCAGAGCACAATAATAATGCAATTGCCTGGGTGGGATGTGATGCTTGGGGAGGAGGGGTTGGCTTGCTTTAGGTGACGATTACCCCCCCCCCCCCCCCCCCAGGAGGACGAGTCATTTTGTAATGTTAGAAAGTTTGAAAGGTTGTAGGGGACGTAGGCTGCAGCATGAAAACCGTGCAGGAGAAGTGTATAATGAATGAGGATAGGGAACGTCAGTGCCACGTTGCTATGACCAAACACACGAACGCACAACGTGAAATCAATGTCTTAATAGAGCAAACGCGCACACACACACACAGCGTGCAACAAATGCGTTACTGACACAAAACACACGTGACATCAATGACTTACAGCAGACACACAATGTGAAATCAATACCTTACGAACACAAATCCAACTAATACACAACGTGAAGCCTACACGCCGCCTTACTGACGCACAACGAACTTATCCGCAACATGAAACCCGCGTCTTACTCGCACGGGGTAGACTCGTGGCGTGGACTCGTTACCTCTCTCTGTGCATTGTGGCCTCGCTAACCTCGTTGGAAGTAGGCAAGGAAAGGGAGGGGGGTGAGGGAGTTGACTCGGAAACCGCCGTACAAAACACGTTGAGGACCACTCACTGGGTTAAGCCACCGATTCATCAATAAACATAAATACCGATGCCAAGTGTAATGGCTGTTAAGACGGGAACAAAACACGCGTTTAAATACGTCCAGGAAGTAAGACATGGCAGAGAACTGCTTGGTAGTACTGGACGCGTATTACACTGCAAGTGCGGGGTGTTACGAAACGTTCAGACGCGTTTGTTTTGAACCAACCTTGCACTTGTGGGATGTAAGGCGACAGCAGTTTGGCCCTCTTTTTCTCGTAACCCTTCTGCGTGATGTCACCTGCCGAAGAAGAAGGGAAGAAGAAGCGTGTGAGACGCGGCGGCGACAGCTCAAGGCGTCGTCAAAGTTGTTCGCAATCATTGCCTCCGAAGAGACTCGCCCACTTTCGAGGTGAGCAAAACCCACACACCGGCTGAAACGTTACGCGACGAGTTGGAAATACTGTGGATAACCGAGCCCGGTTATAAGTATATCAACTGCTGTGACTTAAATAACCTCAGTGTATGAGATTTCAACTAACGAGTCAGGCGATGATGACCTGATCCGGATTGAAGACTTAGCAGCAGCCATGCAAATCTACAAACCCACCCCGTGTAGTTTAAGCATTTTACACATAGCACGTATAACACACGATAATCACGCGCGTCGCACAGAATATTAGTATATAAATAATCAGACGCTACATAGCCCTCACGTGTCTATCTCTCCAGACACAAAAGTATTTTTTACACAACCCATCAGCCCCAAAGCCTTCAGCGAGTGCAAACTCTCAGCAAATGCAGCCCCGAGTGTTGTTCGTATTGAATCAATGCTGCTGAAATAATGCAGTCTCCGTTGGGGCTAATGGGTTGTGTAAACAGACTACTTTTTAGTTTTTAAGGTGCGAACAGACCCGATACGTTAACGCGCCGTATTATTTGCCGATCTCCAAACAGCATAGGTCACTTTCGTCCTCGACGTACAGCAGCATCATTCGACATCCCTGAGAAGCCCGGCCCGTCGAGACGGTGCTGGGAGACACACGCAGAGCGACCGCCACCACCACCACCCCCGCCACCACCACCACCACTGCGGTGCAGGGAGGCGTGCGGTGCCTCCTGCGCTGCTGCCAGAGCCACGCGGATCCTCCCTCCTCCTTCTCCTCCCCTGGGTGACCCGCCCCCCCCCCCCGTGGCCCAGCCAATCGCATCCAGCAAACCTCAAGCCCGTTTAAAGGGACGAGCATGCACCGAGGTGCCACCCCTCCACCCCTCCACCCCACCCACCCCTCCACGCCACTCAGAGCATATGCGCTTCAGATACTCCCTTCCCATCCCGGTCTGTCCTGCCCCCTACAGCAGAGTGTACCGGGTCAAGTGACCGACAGACAGCCATTTACCACTCAGTGAGGGACAGGCAGCTGGCTGGGAGGGAACCCCCTGCCGTGAGCCAATTAGCAGTGAAGCGCGCACACGCACACACACACCAAGTCTCCCATGCTAAACCCACACCACCCCCCCCCCATTCTCTAGCTCATTACGCATTTTACATATGTAAACGTAGCTGTGTTGCTGGGGTAGAAAAACCAGGACTCGTTTGGTTGCTAAAAAATGTTCACGTGAAAAGCCACTTCGTTGAGCTATGTCATTCGTGGACCGGTCACTTTGTGAAAAGAGCTAAATAGCTCAATGGGCTTTACCTGGTCAAATAACAACAGGATTGCAATGCAGATCAAATTTAGATATGGCTATTTTAAGTGAGGCTTCATTTGCTCGAGTTACTTATTAAAATTAGTGCATACCACGGCCGTGCCCCTTTTAAATAATTCTCAACATTCCCAAACACGAATGGTGCTGCACAGCTAAAGCCATTTGTGTTTTAAATATAAACCATCACTCCGAAGAAGCCCACAGCAACGTTGCAGCGACATAGCCTCACACCGTGACCACGGCTGACCTGTTCACCTCGTTTTAGGACAACAGAGGTGCAATTGCTTTCAAAGCGGGTCAGAAGCAAACGAACTCGTCGCTCTGCGTTCGTCGGTTGAACCTTAGCTGGGAATCGTGGATCAGACAGCGTGTGTGCTGGCTGGCCCGTTCGCTCGGGTTAACTCGCACGCACATAGCGACGGTATAACTACACCGAGCTAGAGAACCAAAGTGTTAGCGGAGGTTGTGTAATAAACGTCTTGCCTCCCAGTGCATCACACACGACACTAAGGTATACATTCAAGCTTGGGCAAGGCAGCAAAACCACAACAACAACAACAGTCCCAGAACACAGCAAGACAACAACAACACAGTCCCCCTCAATAACATTGCACATTAAATTGAGCTATCGATACACGGCTACGGATCAAAGTTACAAGTCACATTGGCAAATGTGGTTCCATCCAATCTTCTGCTTCAGGATACATGCGCATACAAAAAAAACATGTTTTTTTTTTTAATACTGAGTTTAACACGTTTAATTGTAATTTGTATGCTTTCTTCAATAAATTGAAAAATCTGTTTTGTTTATGCATTGCATTTTTTGGTGTGGTTTTCATATAATCCCTCTTGGGTTTCCAACCTCACCTGCACATCTTTTTGTTAAGTCTTGGTTATTTCGGTAAAGTCACGTAGAAGGGAAATAGCAAATAAAAATTAAACAATTACATTTTCACGAAAAAGAAAAAAAACCTTATTTCAAATTTTCTTGCTGTGGTTTTCACACCTGACGATGATTGAAACGTCGTGATAATTTGATTGTTTTATTTTTATCATTGTATTATTTCCCTTCTACGTTACTTTACCGAAAGAACCAAGAATATGCATCCCTGCAATCACGAAAGCTTTAAATCGAAATCTTTTTGTTACTTCGTTTTTTTTTATTTGCACCGTTGGTCTTTCACTTGTCTTTTGTGTGCAAATAAAGAGCAATAATAATAATGAGGGCACAAGGATGTTCCAAAACGTCGGTGCTGCAACGGCCAAGGCCTTGTCACCTATTCCAATTCAGGTAGGCCCCAATGAGAGAAGAACCAGGCACCTCAACAAGGTTGGCCCATGGCTTTTCCCCCCCGAAACATTCAGCGCCTGAACCACCACCAACAAAAAAACACAAATGCTCTTGCACGTGTTTATCCACCGAGAATATCGAACACTTGATAAACAGCCTCGATTTTAATCCATTATCACACAGCTAATGCAGTTCCAAGCAGCCACATTGTGTCAACCTGTCGTCAGCTTATCCACAAATTAGGTTTCAATAGGCCTCGGTTCCACTTGAGAAAAAAAGCTAATTGTTGTCATTACCATAACTAACCATTAAACAGATACCAAAGGTGCCCGTTCCCCATTTTTCTATGCTTTGCATTTCATAACCGGTTTGGCTTATGTTAACGGTGTGTACGTGCGTCACAACGTGATGTATCAGGCCCGCACATTGCCTCAATACAAATAAATATTTAAAAAAATAGGTATGAAAGGAGAGTGGTTGAAGAACACACAAGTGTTTTATCTGCATATCGTATCAGGATATCAAAATCAGAATATTTATTGATACTGGAGGAATCCGCTGAGCGAAAAAAGCTCTTTTTCACATATGTCTAGTCGGGGCGGGTAAGGATGTTACATCAACAAACAATACAAAAACGTAATAGGTCTGCAAAGTACAAGAAAGGTAAACGAATCACCAAAACACATACAAATTCAACTAAACAACCCCCATCCTACCAGACAAAACCCACTGAGGAATTAACTTATTTTTCAAAAGCGACCTGCACACAAATTATAGCTCAACATTTATATGTGATATGCAGTATTTGATATAAGCTTATTTTGCTACCTACTGTATTAACCGTCGTGCTTGACCACGTGTTCAGGAATGCACACAGACGGACGGGGTCCGTATTGTTCGATAGGCACAGATAAATCCGCGTCTTTTCATCTGTAAGGGCACGGGCCTAAGCTATGGCACGTGTCGAGAATGAGACACGACTTTGGCAGATGTAGGAATTGAAGTTGGACATTGCCCAGTCTGAAAATAATCGTTCTTAAACCCTAAATTGATGGCAGTGGTAGGGAATGGCATTTCTACATGGTAATTACAGGCCATTTGACAGATAGAGAAGGGAGGAAATTATAGAGATGTAAAATATACAGTACAGTAACTGCGAAAGACAGAGCTGCGATGGTCCGATGCGAGCAGATGTTGGACCGTGAGACTTTAATAAAGATGGAAATCTGTGCAATGGTTGTAAAACCTGCCCTGTCTGACAAGAGGAAGGAAACAATGAACATGTGGGGTACCATCACGGGGGCAATATACACGATGGCCTCCTGACCCTGACAAGAGATGAGTGCAACGGATCTTACATTTTTTTCCCGTGTGTAACTAGGGTGAACCCATATCAAACAAAAGAGGCTCTTGAATATAAAAGCTGGCAGTTCACCAACAATGGTTTAAATAAGCCTCACACTGCTAATGTGACCACTGAACGTCAAAAAATGCTCCAGTTTGCTTCTAATAAACCAAGTCTGCTAAATATATATTTATGCACATAAGTGCGCACTACCATTAGACTTTGCGGCTGGTGATGTGTGTAAAATATACTTCCAAGATGTCTGGGCAGCTTGGAAGAGTAGGACAAAAATACTCCCTCTAGGAGACCGTTCTGCCAACAGTGGAGTGAGCAAGCAATTACAGTGCTGCACCTTTATCTTTACCCTATATGGAACTATACTCGCACGCCCGCTAGAAGGTATGAAGGCCCGTGGTCCAGAATAAGAACCGCCAAGTGAGAGCTATGGAGGAACAGTGCCCGAGAGGACGTGCCGTGTGACGGGAGAGTCATTAAATCTGTGCATGTGCGAGGTGAATTGCTACATCACACAGGAACGTGACAGACGGGCACCAGCTTAGGGAGTCACGGCTTAGGGAGTCCGTCATCCAGATGTGGATTGGCCACGGCTAACGATGATGTGCCCCCTACTGATTGCAGCACTGAGGAGTGTCTAATTATAAGAGCCTACGGTTAATTAACAAGCGCCGGGGCCAACCGCTCATGTGGCTTGGGTCCAGGTGGATGGGGTGGAGAGATCAGGGCAAGGGTGGGATGTGCAACCTTAAAGATGACGTGCCATAGACAAAAGGAATGGGATTGCACTTGATCCACAGGGTGTCCTTTTAAAAAAATTAATGCACTTAACCTTTTCCTATTCCGAAGACGTACACAAGTCATCAGTTTTTATTCTGAATCCATTCCAATAACGTATGCGTACACGCACCTCCAATTAGCACGGTTGACTGTGTGCGGT